TCATCATCATTACAATCCATCATACGTCCGCCACTTAACGTGGGTCTTAAGCTTACGTAGCATCAAGCCAAGATTATAAGCCACTTTCAAACAACGGGTTAATGGATGGATGTCTTGGACCATATTAAGCCAAATCAGTATTAAAAAATTCCTATTGGGTTAGTAAAAATTTAGACCATCTTTTGGTTTATAGTTTTATTATAGGATTTAGGGCATAGTATAAGTGCTACGGTTAATACCCGTTTAACTGATAGACCATACACCACCACCATATGTCCACATTTAACGGAATGTAATTATTTAGAAGTTCGGAGATCAGTAAAAGTACTATATTTACATGATTTTTATTTTATAACAATATTATTACGTAATAGTAATTATTATTATAATGGCTCAATGGCGCTGTGGTTAATCATTGAGTTATGGCGCTGTGAGACAAGGTTGCAAATAATTGTTACTAGTTTGAATGTTGGTCCACGTGCAATGTATGTAAAACGCCTCCAACATAATAGATTCAATCCTTGCATTAAGGTTTAATATAAAAAAAAACATTACATATATCAGAGTTAACTATGTAGTCGATATCGTTTTCAATACAGGTTTAATATAAAAAAAAACATTACATATATCAGAGTTAACTGAGTAGTCGATATCGTTTTCAATACATTTGTAAATGTTACTTTTAGCAGTGTCTTAAAACTAAGTTGATTTTCTGTTTTAAGTTTTTTTTTTAAATATGCAAATAAGACACGACTAGAAGAAGCTATGTATGTATATATACATTTACTGTCAAAACAAAACTTCCATATGTTTGTAATGGTAGTTTCGTTTTACAGTTTACTTTAAGTGTCAATTACCAGTTTGACCTGTCCGTCAAAAATATTAAAATGACTGGCATTATTCTAATCATAAAAGGTAATTAAACTGTTTAGAATTATAAAAGACGAAAAAAGGACATTTCAAATATTTTCTATAACCAAAAAGTAAATTAAAAGTATCATTATTATTACATCGAATCAGGAATGGCATCAAATAAAACATCATAAACAATAAAAAGTACAATGGACGTTATTTAAAAGCTGGCAATGAGGCTTCAGTCGGCTAAGCGTACATTGATTCTACTTTAGAACATTTGGGGCCCCACAAAACAATTTTCAACGCAATCAAAACTGAAAACCATTTTTTTAGGAATCACTGAAATCACCATAATGTGTACGTCACCAAATAAAATGGCACAAAATTCCAACAAAAAAAAACAGAAAACATGAAATCGATTGTGCGAATAAAAAAATTAAATTATATTGCATAGAGTAACAAAGATATGGCTTTCAAAACTCTTTTATATAAAAAATAATCTCAAATAAATAAATTACCAAAAAATAAATGAATGAATGTACAATATTTACATCAATTATTTATAGGGAAATTGCATTTTAAAAGTAATTTGGGGAAATCACGGAAATCAAAAATTTGTTCTCGTTTTATTATAAGATCTATGAAAAGCGAGACAGTAGAAAAATAAAAATTAAAACAGTCTGTCTTTTTCGTTTCATAGTAAAATACAAAAAATCCCCACGCTTCATTCCCTTGTTGGACATGGTGTTTTCATCTCTTTCCCACACTATCTTCATTCATATTAGAATTGAGTGTACGAAAGAGACAAACTATATAATGACAAATATCGTATCGATAAAAACTTACGTTAATACACCTTAATAGCTAAATGCTTAATGGAGACATCTAGTATATTAAATATAATACTTATAGATAGTTACATTGATTTCACTTCTCGGTTATCCGACACGAATTCATCATAATTCCTATATATAATATACTCACGAAAGCCGCGCCTTTGAGATACATCGTACACAAAATAAATAAAGGATTCCATTTGCAGAAATATTGCACTTCCTACCGCAATATACATTATTATGACATATGATTCAAAGAAAAAATTTAATAAATGAACAAATAAGAAGTATACAAGTGTTTTCCAGCTTCCTCAAAGCATGGATGTGTTGTTACACGAAAGTAGAAAAACCCTTAGAAAAAGTAATATAATACTCACGAACCAAAACGTCCTATCAGTCTATAAATACTTATACACCTAATAGGCCATTTGGTATATAAGTGTAGCTGCACAATATCGGTCGTATGCGATTAATCCTTAGACATCCTTTCTTATTTGACCAAATCGTTCTTTAAAAAAGAAACTAAAGTTAAAATAATGAGACTCGTAATTTTTGGAATAATACCAATGAATAATATTAAAATATCAATATGATGTAATACACAATATCCTTTTTAAATAAATGGTAATTACAACAAATGAATAAAATACTAAATAAAATAATATTTTGCTTCGTACAACATAAACAGAAAAGAAAATTTTATTGAAAAATCTTTTTAAATGTCAACTAATATTTATATTTAAACTAGGTAACTTTTGGATGTAATGTGTACACAGTATATATAAAATTAAGACATTAAAAAGGAATAAAATATTGAATAAAACTATTTTTACGGATTTTATCGCGTTTAATTAACTTATGAGGTGATCACCTCAGTCCCCCGTGACCACGGTTGCTGGAAAGCAACCGAAACGTCGGGAATATAAAATAAGTTAATTAAACGCGATAAAATCCGTAAAAATAGTTTTATTCAATGTGTAGTGTTCGCGTAAATATAAGAAATCATTAGGAATAAAATAATTACGTAAAAAATATTTAATAAATAAGAATGTCTAATATAAAAAGCACATTGATAAATTTGTTGTCTTCAATGCCATTACTACGTACAACAATCGAACTGAAAAATTTGCTCAAGAAACAATTCAAAAATATTAAAAATGTAAAATATACAAAATAAAAAAATAAAATATATTCACCTAATTTATAATGCAAGTTTCCACCATACATACATTAAAATGGCGCTTTATATTAAAACATAATTAAATAAGTAGATTGGCAGTTACATTTTATATCACACTACACTAATAGCTTCCGAATGACAAAAATTTTACGTTTACAAATTATCACTGAATTATATGTACTATCTAGCGAATTACCTGGCCGACACACTAGCTAGACTGACATTTTTAGTCTGTGGCAAGACTGTGCATTTTTACCATACAATATGCAATAATTGTCGAAATCATTCAAAACTTTTTTACTGTGAACTGTGTGTTAAAATATATAAATTATCAATATATAGTTTGATGTATTCTTCGGGCATAATATGCATATATTAAAATGACAAATTTCACAAAATTCCGTTATTACTAAAATTGTTTATACAGTGTAATATAATAAACGATATTATAATTAATACAAAGTTTTTCGTTTATAAAATACTCGTATCAAGCGAATATATAAATAAAACAATGTGTGAATAATACATACAAGCTCTTACGATATACCTCTTGCACATATATTAAAAAGTTACACAAATATCACTATGTGTTAGTTAATATCAATAACAATTACATAATAATTAATTACTTTTCGATTGAACGGAATGTGCTCGTACGTGGTGTTGCCATTAATTGATTATACAAATATTTAGTTATATACCAATACTTTATTTTAAAACTCCCGTTAAATACTTTTGTGCACGAATTTCAACCTTACATCTATCAGAAATGCGATATAATTTGAATAACACCTACGTTTAAATACTGATCGAATTTCTCGACGACGAATCACGTGGCTCTTTGACTCAATCACACTTCCAATCGAAATTCGTTTTTATTAAGAAAGCGCTAAACATCAAAATGCAAGCAACCTGTAAACATCGCGACGTATCACTAAGCACATTATGATATGACAACACTTGTAAAAATAAACCGCATTTCCGAGTAACATCACTGAAATAACGGCTGACCTTTTTTGACCGTTAGAACTATTTTAGAACAACAATAGCTTGCAAATTTAAAAGGCAAAGGCACACGCGGTAGCGTCTACCGACGAAATGCCTTTACAGTTTCAACCAAACTATCAAAACAACTGACACTGTCGTTTGACAGATGTCAGTCTGACAGTCGACGCAAAATAGCCAAACTTACGCACTAGGACGTTTCAACGTATAACATCACAAATGGTTGCAAGTTCCATAGAAACGTTACGACCCGCTATTGTGTTCAGTGATGACGTCTCCGTACGCAGTCAACGTCAGACGTCGTCCATCACGAATGCAACCTGCATTGTGGGTTCCTGGAACATTTCATTCAAATCAGTCAAGCTCGCACCTTCACAGATTACACAGCGTCACGGTGCGGCCGTGCGTAGCTAATTAAGGGATTATGCGCTGGCTACAAATTTGATAGTACTCGAGCAACCCGAGTTCGATCCCTGCCGGCACCAATGAAATTGTTACTTGCAATTTTGAATTTACCATGTGCCCGGCCCACACACACAAACACTCACGCCTGTCACCCAGAGGGGTAGGCAGAGACTACGGACTTCCATTTGGCGCGATCCTGACACACCTCTCTCGCCTCCTTTACATCCATATATCTACGCATACACGCTCGTCGGTTAAGGGTACTCCTAATTTGGCCCATTTTCAATGTATCGCCGATTTGGTCGATAAACCTTCGTCTAGGGCGTCCCTTACCAACCCTGCCGTGCCCAGCCCAATTACGGGATTTAATTGAGTTTTAATCAATTTGGAGATTATGCTTGCACTGCCAATAATTATCGCTTGGGATTTTAGAAGATTTATTACGGTTAACCCATACGATACTTAAAAGGATACATTAATTTATCAACGCCCACGGGATTAAATAGGGTGGTGTATTCAGTTTCGCTGCGACCTTAATTTTTTTTTTTGTCATGGCAAGGGTCACAAACAAGCACAGGGTCCACTTGGTCGTTACCAAGTGGACCCTGTGGCCTTCTGGTTTTTTTTCTATAGACTAGGTAGAAAATTGAACGCCTGAAGTATGGCAAACAGGTTTAAATATAATTGTATGTTACGTTTTTGTTACTCACACACGTTCCTCACACCATGACGAAGGCCTCCTGTCCGCGAAAAAGGAATGGATGCTGGTCGATCATGGTCTGTACAATGTCCTCTAGATAAGGTCGCGTCATCTCGAATCGGCCCATATCCGAGAATTGAACGGGGAGCAACGTCGGCCACCAGCAGATCGCCAAGTTTTTGCTGTCCATGGAATTCAACTTCGAATTGTCCGCAACCCTGTAATCGTATAGAAAGTTAAAAAAAATAAAGCTTGACGTTTCAGCTGTGCAGTGGCTAAGTGCTTGGTTGATGCTGCGTGTTCCTGGATTGACTATCGCTTGTAAAATGTATTCATATTATAATACTGCTATGTTGTTTCGTGTAATGTGTGATATTTGATGTGTATGATTGTGTGATGTGATATGTGGTATATGATGTGTGTTGTAAGGTAGATATGATGTAGTGTGTGGTGTGTGATGTGCGATGTGTTATGCGATTTGTGATTTGTGGTTTGTGGTGTGTGGTGTATGCTGTATAGTTTGAGATGTGTGGTATCAATGCGTTGTGTGATGTATAGTGTGATTTGTGGTACGTGATTTGTCGCATGTGATCTGTAGTATGTGATGTAACGAGGTACGGTGTGTGTGGTGAGATGTGCGTTATATGATGTGTGATATGTGATATGTAGTGTGTGGTATGTACGTGTGGTGTGTTATGTGTATGATGTGTGGGGCAGCGTGAAGGCAGCCACATTTTAATAAAAGACTGATGCAAGCAAACTCTTCCAACACTTTTCTGTTCTCTTTATAAAAGACAAATCAATACGCTTCGCCTAAATGCTATATAAATCCAAAATGATAGGATGAAAAGTAGTAGTGTGTGGTGTATGACGTATGGTGCGCGTGTGTGACGTCACCTGGCGAAGTGGTGCAGCAGGTAGTCGAGCGTGGCGCGCGCGGCCGGCGTGAGCGCGGAGCCGAGCAGGCCGCGCAGCGCCAGCAGCCGCCAGCTGCGATCCTTCAGCTCCACGCCGCCCGCGATGCAGCCGCGCATCGCTGCAGCACCACCACCAACCATGCACCATTTTTTTATAGAATAAGGATGACAAACAACCACACAGCCGATCTAATGGTAAGTGGATGCTGTGGCCCATAAACATCTACATCTATCGTGGATTAAGAATAGCACTTCTCATTGCCACTCTTTCATTAATAATGCCGTCGCGTGTCACATGCTTTTAAATAGCAAAAAATTTGAAACAGACAAGTGACGGCTCCGTCGCGTAGTGGCTTTGCAATGAATTTCAGCGCTAAGGTCCGCAGGTTCGAATCCCGCACGAAACAAGTATTTGTATGGTCTACAAATAATTGTTCTGAGTCTGAATGTTTAACCTTGTGAAATCTATGTATGTAAACTGCCTCCGCGATACTGGAGAAAATCCTAGTGTGGAGGTAACATTTTCTAAAAAGAGAGTAAGAGACAAGTAATGAAATTATTCACCTAAGAAAAAGTTTTGAGGTAACACATACAAAATACGGTCGAATTGAGTACCTCCTCCTTTTTTGAAGTCGCTTAAAAATGGTAAGTAAGCAAATTATCTGAGTTTCAAAGACGTTCACGTTATTATAACCTTAATTTTTCTCGATGTTACATACCGGGTGTTTGTGAAACGCTCCCGAAAAAAGTGAGAAATAAAATCAATCCTGAGGGAAAAAAATCATCTTTTCACAACTTTTTATTAAATTTGTTCACGCTCCATCATGTTAGTACAGCTAAATGAAATGATAACTTCATAAAAAAAAAATTCATAAAAATACTTAAATATAAAACCAGGAGTGGAATTACAATCAGCTGACTAGGGGTCAAAGTACGCCCGGACGCCGAATGCGCGGCCTGCATCCAGCGATGGTACTACAATACCTAATAATTTACAACACTTGTCTAAATACCTGACTTATCTACTTAACCTACTATTTTGCCACTGTGCTTGTCTCCACCTAGCCACTTTATTCACAGGTTAAATAAACCAAATACCTGGTTCGATTCCCCGCTAATAAAAAAAAATATTTAAACGAAATGTTAGAGTAAGGTTAGAGTCATGCTTTTTTATCCATCGTGTAGGTATTTTTATTATTCTGATGTATTCTGTTATGTACCTATTCAGATGAGTTCAGTACTAAGTTATATAAAAAAAAGTTAGGTATCAAACGGCTTACCGATCTAAATCCTAAGGCACATTAACATGTTGCCTTATTCACGAGCACTATAAACGTACCTACGCGTTAGGCATTATTAAAACAAAACAAGAAAAACAAAACGCAACAACAAGAATGTAATAAACAAAACGATTGAACGGTCGCTCACGCGTACGTGATAGTCAACACGGAACTGTCTCAAAAACTAAAATTAATAATCAATCCCGCCAAAACAAATGCGGACGAGGCATTCGTCCTTGAAGCACTGAGCACTACCACAGACCGTAAAACCCTTACGACATTGGCAACGTTTATTTTATTTATAAATTTATTTATCCCTACAACTAGTCTTCATATGGAATGTAGAGGTTATGGTTGTCATTTTTAATACAATTACACAATCAATTGTACCCTGACGCAACAAGCAGTTCTTTACTACAAAAATTATATTGAAATTAATAAACGTACCTAATTATTCCAGTACTCACTTACACAATTATAAACACTGTTTCATGGTTATCTTTGATTTTGTATAAGAAAATAGAGATGAAATGGTACTGAATAATTTAATCATCATCATTACAACCATTTATAAGTCCACTGCTGAACATAGGCCTCCCCCAAGGAATGCCACAAAGCACGGTCCTGAGCCACCTGCATCCATCGACTTCCTGGATGTCTTACCAGGTCGTCACTCCATGTAGTGGGGGGTCATCCTACACTTCGCCTACCGGTATGAGGCTGCCACTCGAGAACCTTTCTTCCCCATCGGTTGTCGGTTCTTCAAGCTATATGGCCGGCCCACTGCCACTTCAGCTTATTTATCAGGCTATGTCGGTTACTCTGGCTCTACTGCGGATATCCTCATTTCTAAGTTTAATCCTCCTGCCTGAATAATTTAATAGTTAAAATCAATTGCAATTATGATCGACAGTTAATAACTAATCCATCAAAATTAATGACAGAATACTTTTTACTTTATTTTAATTGACTTTTGGTATTTAATCCGACCAATACTTTGAATTTAAAAAGAGGTACGTCAAAATTATTAAAAACTAGCTATTCCCCGCGACTTCGCCCGCGTGTAATTAAAGTTTTTTTTTATAGGATAGGTATTAATTATGTTGCGCGGAACCCTAATTCTTTTTCTTTTTCTAAAATATAAGTAGCTCAAGTTACTCTTTATAACATCAGCTATCTGCCAGTGAAAGACCCGTCGAAATCGGTCCAGCCGTTTCAGAGATTAGCCGGAACAAACAGACAGACAGACAGACGGCAGACAGACAGACAAAAATTTTAAAAATTGTGTTTTTGTTATAAGTACAGTATATACTTTCATATGCATTTACTAAAAAGCTGTTATTTTGATATTACAAACAGACAGCTCAATTTGTATAGATTACTCGCAAGTTTTATAATGATTGCCGCCTCTAATTCTTATGTCGCCGGCAAACTAAATTTCGGTGCAACATGGCAGCGTTGACAACACCAATTTGTCAAATTCCCCGAAAATTCATGTCCAATTCCCCAATTCAAGGACAAAACTTCCCAACAAATTCCCCTCAATTTCATTTTAAGAAATTAATCAATTTTCAACTAATTTTATAAAATTTACTTTTTAACTAACATTTTTTTGTATAAAATTAAAAAATAAATGAAAGCATTAAATGATATACAAAAGTTGCCGAAATAAATCCGAAAATTAAATGTGGTGCAATGAAGATATTTACAAAAAAGGGAGTCATTCGATATTCATAAGCAACCTAACAAAAATATTAAGATAATTATATTGATTTTCAAAATCCCCGCATTTTCCCCGCATAATACCAATTCCCATAAAATCCCCAACCAACATCAAATTCCCCGCAATTTGGGGAATTCCCCATATGTTGGCAATGCTGACGCGAGGTAACACGAGTCGGCGGAGTTTTGGCGGGAAATTGACCGGCTGCGGTTTGCTGCTCCTGTATTATTGTTTAAATAATGGTTTGAAGTGGACTTTGATATGTAAAAGTGTTGCGATTTTGTGTATTAAGTGTCTACGCATGTGAACTATTAGTGGAAACAGTGAAACAAGTGCTCTGATGGTGATGGATTCTCAAGATAAGCTGTTTGTTTGCATAGGCACCTTTAGATACCATCGCCAACTATCAGCTGTCTGCTGGATCAAGTTGCCGCCAAAATCTCCCAAGAACTGCACAATGTGACGCATCAACATATTGTGAAGCAGTATACTATGAAAGAGTGGGGAAATTACAATAAACCGAATAAAAATACTTAAGACTTGGCCTAAAGGTCTACCAGGCCATAAACTCCAAAAAAAAAAACACGAGTCGACCGGGCGGCGGCAGCGCGTGTGTGAAAGGGAAGGATAGAGTGAATAGTATAATACCTAATGCATTGTTTCGTACCGAGCTAGATAAAAGAGCATGGCAAACGCGCGGATATTGTACCTAGTCAGCTGATTTTATGATTTATTTATTTTAAATTTCACTGCTGGAATAATGTTTAAGTATTTTTATGATTTATTTAATGAAATTATCATTTTATTTAGCTGTACCTACATGATGGGGCGTGAATAAAGGTAATGAAACGTTGCGGATCGATTTTATTTCTCACCCATCATCAAAGGTATAGTTAGTACTATCGTCTGTCTTCGTACAATAATGTTCCCTCGGTGTATTCTACTACCAACTAATATCAAATGATTCCATTTGTTTTATAACAACTCCTAACCCTACTGTAGGTGCGGCCTTAACAAAGGCGCGTAACGAGCTAAGTGATACAGACTCTCCGCACGCGGATGTAAGGTGCATTTTGATTTAATACGCGCGCCGCATTAATTTTGTTTTCGACAATATAATATGTAGGCTAATTTGACCAAGGTCGTGTTCGGGGCGTGCAAAGTATTATGAACATTGGCGACGTTGTAACTAGGTTTAAACACGCAAGTTTGCTATCAGAGAGTGATCCTTCTGTTCTTGTACTATTATTTATTCTGTGGCACAGACAGTGTAACACAGACCAGAGAGACTTCTAAAGAAAAAATTAATACTCCCACAATAGTGACACTTTCAAGTATATATTACAAAATTTATAACACTTTTATAAAGGTAGGTCTGCTTTTCGACAAACTCCGCATTTGTTAGAGCTTTTTATTGTGATGTCTAATACTACTGGAATACTCACCAGCAATATCTTCTAACTGCGACATGCTGGCTTCATCCAGTAACGGTGGTAGTTTCTTCGAGAAGAAGTCCTTAAGCGCAGTGGCGACGGCGTTTACTGGGATATCTAGCGAATCTAAATCTACATTTGGATCTGAAATATAAAATAATTATGTTTAGTTTGCAATTGATCTCAAGCCATTTTAAGGAAGCGCCAGCAAGACAATTGAAAAAAAATGTACCCCTTTTTCTTTCACATAATAACACTTGACATCTATAAAGCCGGTTAAAATATAAAAAGCTATTTATGATTGGCAGTATATTCGTATGAGGTAATAGTTGCGAAACACAACGCTAGTCAGTGTAGCTGATACGCAAAATTGTCTTTTTTTTTCGTATCACTTATTTACTAGCTCAACTTACACCAACCTCTATCATTCAAAAAATTTGTAAATAAGGGCCGATATTTCAATCATAAGATAAAAGTTATTCTTAGGTTAAAATATAACATAAACAAATTAAAAATTACAGTTGTATGAAGATAAGAGGTTAACTATTTCACTTTTATTATATTCAGCCAGATAGCTTTTATTAGACGATTCAAAAATAGGTCCTAATAGTAATAATAAATGGTTTTATATTGTATGTCTGCTATCATTAGTGCGTTAGAGAATTCATTATTGTCGCGACAAATTAAAACGACATTAAAGAATGGACAAGTTTAAAACCTATTTTGCGATAGTGAATAAATGAAAATATGTGATAGTGTCTATAATCAGTTGTGTAATTAATACAAAATATTTTTACAAAACGCTAAAATGTCAACGCCCTTCCCAACTCTGATCAGGTAGTGAAACGTTAAAAAAATATAAAAAACAAAGTTAAAAAATCAAGAAATAAAAAGCAGTACCTTCATAGAACTTGTTGAAGAGCATGTCTACATGTGCCCTGTTGCCGGGGACTCGGTAAAGTCCCTCTGAAGCAAGCCCCTCTCTTTCTATGAACTCCACGCACTTCTCGACGAATAGCGGTACTCCATGAGAACCCTTTACATTAAATAACATAAATTTATTAACAATGGTGGTGGGTATAGGTAAAACTAGTGAAATAACAGCAAAAATATAGAATGATCCAATAGTAATGATAGTGAATATTTACGACGAATATTCACAGTGATTATAGTTAATGCATTTAGTCCATCTTTTTTCTTAACCCAGAATCCCTTTACAAAAAAATCTTTATCTAGTGATGGACGTTGTTGAAGCTTTTTGGGAGGGTAAATCTCCAAAAAAGCCTCAACAGACCGCGTCCATCACTTGACTTTCGTCTGCAAACTTCTTGCCTCGTAGATTTTCCTTGAGCCGAGGAAATAGATAGAAGTCACTGGGAGCTAGATCTGGTTAATAGGGCGGGTGTTCGGGCCGTTCAAATCCCGTTTCTTGAATATCAGCCATCGCAACTACGGCTTTGTGAGCCGGAGCGTTGTCAGCTTGTTCCTTAAAAGCCTCTCGCAATCTTCTTAATTGGCCTGTGTAGTAAGAGCCCGAAATAGTGGCTCCTTTTTCCAATTATTCCTACCACGTCACAAAAAACGAACGCCATAACCTTCCCGAGCGAATTATCATTAATGCCAGCGGGCATACGAACTCAGCGCACCCTTATCAAATTATACGGTAAGTTATTTTCCGTTTAGTTTTTTAAATTAATAATTATCTATTATATTATTTATTAATATTATATATTAATTACATATTAATCTTAACGATATTGTATAAAAATGTCTCTACTACAGATACATTTTCGGAATGTACAAATTAATAAATAACATTACACGCACCTGTGGTCCCCAGTTTTGTATTGATTGCGTATTCGTTATTTGCGCAGAGTTTTTCTTGGAGTCTTTGCTTTTGGAGAATTCCTGTAAGAACATTGTATAATACAATTTACCTTACACGTCAATTTCATAGATTTTATTTTTAAGTTAAACATGAAAGGATATAAAATAACAGCTATTTTACCCAGCCCAAAACAAGGCTAGAACGTTTAAAAAAAACTAATATTTAATTGAAATTAGCAAATTTTGAGTCAAAATGTATAAATTGAAAAAAAAAATACTTTACGGCTTTATCGTGTTTAATTTTGTCTTCTTTTTAACTAGTCACGGGGAGACTGCAATGTTTATCGTTCCGATGTCATAATTAAACTGAACTACATTTAGTTTTAGAATATTCATTTTTATTTCGATCTACGCAGAGCGAGCCTACAGTATCTTCAAGTTTTGCAAACAACACGTGACTGACGTCAAACAACTCGAGACTCAACCCCGTCTCTTGAACATGACCCAGTGTCGAGAATTAATAAGATGTAAAAATTAAACGTGATAAAATCCGTAAAATAATTAATTAATTTTCGCATAAATATGAGAAACCGCACTGTGCAGGAAGTTGAGAGCCTATCGTTAAAGATACGTGCGTACTTGAACCAACTAAAAACCTCACCTTATGTCTTCGATCGTGCTTGCTAAAGGGCTGTGGTCTCCGCCGCGAATCCGCTGCACTTGACGAAGAGTTGTCTTGCGCCGAGGAAGGATACTCGCCGGATAGTAGCTGTGGTCACCACAATATTATGTTAGGATGCTGATGCATATCTCCTATTTATATCCCTCTGTCGTCTTTAACGATACCCTCGTGATATGGGGTGGTAGTGGCCACCACATTGCTTACACAGGACTACATGTTATTTATAATATACTACACAATCTTCTTCAGTCCATTATAGCCCACTAGTAACCATGGGCATCTCCTATAGTTGGATTATAGGAATAGCCATAATCGACATTCTTGGCAGCTCTCTTCGTTGCCGGGCTATATATATTTTACACCTGATTTACACTAGATGATGATATCGCCATATTTTTGAGACCATAAGATTTATCTGGCATTTTCAATAGTCGCCACTAACAGGGACACCTACAGGGCGAAATGGCATAGTAGATTCTCTTGTATCGCCAACGCACTGTATTGATATAATTAATTTTACGAATTTTAGTGTTTAATTTTACTATGTCCATACATATATATCCATACGCTAAAATCATTCATCTATATAAAATTAGTTTTATGATGATAATAATAAATAGAACTTTATTGTACACCATAATTTTAACAGTGGTAGAGCCACGCGACAGCTTTTGCTGTCGCACGGATGGGCTGGCTCGAACCGGGGTGGTACCACGACCTCACAGAATGCCAGCGTGAAGTAGAGGTTTACCTCTGCGTTTCGTTTGGTGAGTGCAGGTGGCCGGAGGCCCTTTTTACTGGAAGTGAGGCATTCCATCTTAGTCCTCACGGGTGACAACGCATCTGCATTTTGATTCGCAAACGAGGATAGATGTAGATGTCTATGGGCCGCAGCGGCCACTTACCATCAGGTGGACTGTGTGCTCGTTTGTCACCTTTATCCTATAAAAAAAAAATTACAAAAATAAAGGAATTGTGCTTAGTTTTGGCGGGAACTTGGCCGCTGACGGATTGCTGCTCTTCTATATTGTTTAAATAATGGTTCGAAGTGGATTTTGATATGTAAAAGTAATGCGATTTTGTGTATTAAATGTCTGTGCATGTGAACTACTAGTGGAAACGGTGAAACAAGTGCTCCGATGGTGATATGAGAATCTCAAGATAAGGTGTCTGTCTGCTTAGGCGCCTTGAGATACTATCGCCAACTGTCTGCTAACAGTTGGCGATAGTATCTCAAGGCTCAAATTGCCGTCAAAATCTCCCAAGTGCTGCGCAATGTGACGCATGAACATATTGCGAAGCAGTGAAATTTAAAGATTATTATTACTTGATACTGAGAAAAATAAGGACGTGGCTAAAAGAACAAGCATCCAAGACAAAAAATTTAATAAAAAAAAGAATTGTGCGTCTTAATAAGTTGTAAAATGGGCGATCTCTTCTAGGCAACCTCAGGATGGACAGATACTTAAAACACAAGTAGACACATGGGTTTGCTAGTGTTAACACATTAGTTTCCAGAAAACAACTTAAAATGTTTTTTTCTTGAAATCTATATTTGAAGAAAATATAATATTTTTATTATATAAAAATATCATAGAGTACCTAATTATTAGGTATTATATGGTTGTTTCCAATGAAAATATTTAGTACTAACCTCGTATGGCATTCGATCCTGTTGCGTGAAAAATTTAATTAGTTTTAATTTATTAAATATCAATTTAAAACTAACTATATTACAGAATTACAGAGATATAATTCATAAAAATAGGTGAAATTATGCTACTGTACTACACGAATAAAAAAATGTTTTTAGAGTGTACATACATATATCATATGTTATGCCCGAAGAAGTAATAAACCTAAGATTACCCAGTGTTTTTTGGTGAAGTTCGAATAATGATTGATATAACTATAACTTCTATTTGATTTGCCGAAAATCGAGTTTCAGTTGCGGCCGAGGTGACGCTTGGGTTACCCCAAATTCGTTTTACATTGTTTATATATAAATTATTCGGACTACTCAAAAACTACCGGGTAAATTTGGATTTAGTACTTCTTCGGGCATTATTGGTAACATATGTATATAACGTACCGACGGTACGGTACCGTACATATGACTGCGAGTTCAAGAATTCACTCTCAACATTTATTCATAATTATTATAATATTTCAATTGTACTAACTTCAAAGTCGTTAAGATCTTATATAATATGTGGCTTTGTTGTTCTGCAATTTTTCGCAAATTTAAGTTACATATAAAGAAGAGTTATCTGTCTAGCGTGCAAAAAGTGGTGATGATGGTATATGACGATGATGGTGGTGGTGGTGAAACAAACGGTTACCTTGTGCGCGTCGTGGTGTGGTGGCGGCGGAAGCGGGCGCGGCCGCCGCGTCTCTCCGTCCGAGCTGCCGTCGCTCGACTCGCTCCCTGCTGCACACAAACATTTGTATGTTCAATTTGCTGCCCTAAGCTATAGTATTCTATTTCATTCTTAGTGCTTATAAGTACTACGCGGATAACTGCGAACCGTCCGGCTGACCGCACGATGCGGTTGCGAATGCGGCCAACCGGATTGCGGGCATCCGCATTCGCATTCTGCGGTTTAAGAACGGTTGCAATTTGCGGTCATATCGATTCATTTCAAAGACGGACGTGGAAGAAGTCGCAATTATTTACTACATTTACACACGTTACGTAAAGAAGAAAAACAAATAAAGATGATTACGATGATACATTTTTCGGTATCCATTATAAACGTACCACGTCCACACAATCTCATTCAATGGCAGGCAGCCGCAATCTGAGCTACACAGTGCGAATAGCAACCGTCCTTCGAGCCGCATTTCGGCCGGCTGGCCGTATTTCGAGCCGCAGCCGAGCGACCGGCGTGGTTTGCGGGTAGCCGCACCGTAGTACGCATAGAAATAGATGTTACGTTTGCTTGCGGTCAGTATACGGTATATAATTGCGGGTAACCGCATAGTGCGTATGAGCACTTACAGTTTTGACTTGTAACATATGAACTAAAGTCATAATATCTATACACAGGGTTATTTTCAAATTTTAAACTTCAGTTCAAATATATAAATAATGATATATCGTAATTGCACTTTTTGAAAATAGGAGTACCTAATTAAGACTAATACTTTTATTTGAAATTATCACAAATTGTATGTGATTTATGTGCAACAACGTTTTTGCCTACCGATCGACCTTTACAAAAGTGTGCGTGCGCAGTTAAAATAATGCATTAACACGCATTTCCAATTTAATAAATAAAAAGGACAGGATGTTCGAATTTTTTTTTTATTAATTTTTCTTCACCATTTGCCTATATTACTTATTCTGAACCTTCTCTGCAAATTTGGCCTGTATATACATTGCTGATCAATGCCGCCCGAAGTCAGAAATTTATCTATATTTCTCTCCCGTGCCTAGGAAAGCATGTGAACCATTGGCCCTGTGCTTGTTCTCTCTCCGGTCGTGTCGAATTGCCGTCCATCTGTCTGAGTGTGTTAGAGTGCATGAACACCTGTGCTTGCGCAGATGTCTTTCTTGTTCTTAAAGTTGTCTGTTATCTTTGTATGTAATTATGTTTTATATATTCGTGAAGTTTGATCACAATCGATTCAGCCATTCTGATTAGCCCAGACAGAAAGACATACAGACAAATTAAAAAAAATGGTTATTCATATCAAAATATCTTGCAAATAAGCCTGTGAATTTAATAGAAGCTAGTTATTTCGATATTACAGACAGACGCTTCAAAATCATACATCTTAAAATCAGTTTATTAATATAATCACGAGCTATGAGACCTTTCGTTTTAGTCTTCATGATGAACAAGTCATCCTGTAGCTTTCTTGTTTGAACATGGTTGCAGGTATTCATGAGCTGCAGACGCACCTTACCATCAGGAAGATAAATAGCTAAAGATTTTTGAACAGTCTTTTTAAAAACGCTTTATGAATTAAATTTTTACCTTTATCTTCTAGCGGTCGTGCTCGATATCCGGTTGGCAATTCTGGTGGGCCCACAAACATACCCAGCTTTGGGACTCTCGGACTTTGTACTGCAACTAGGTTTCCCAATGACCTGTATAGTTAGTAATTAGACAAATTAAAATCATAGACAAACGAAATTACAATATTAATTATTACGTTAACACTTTCACTGTTCGATTTGCAAACACAATAGTAATACTATAGCAATGACCAATATGTGGGTCACGTGACAGGGAAAGCGTTTATTACAATGCTCCATTAAATTGGTGTAACTGTTATGTAACGATCGGGCAAGTAGCCCTAACAACAAATACAAAATAACGACAAATGTTCACGAAGTATTTTGTAATAAATTTAAAATTTATATAAAATTATTCTAATTAATAGAATCAGGCGTAACTTTGCGGAAATCCATTATAATAATCCATTATATAAAAAAAAATCTAAAAGCTTCTATATAAAATTATTCCTTGTTACTGTCTAGTGGTCGTAAGCTAAGCTTTTTTTATAGGATAGGGTGACAAACGAGCACACAGTCCACCTGATAGTAAGTGGTTGCTGTGACCCTTAGACATCTACATTTATCCTCAATAAAGAATCAAAATACAGATGCGTCGTCACCCGTGAGGACTAAAATGGAATGCCTCTTTTCCAGTAAAATGGGTCTCCGGTTCTCTACACTCACCATACGAAACACAACAGAGGTAAGCTGCTATTTTACGCTGGTATTCTGTGAGAACGTGGTCCTTCCCCGGTCGAGCCGACCCATTCGTGCTACAACTATACTACTAATATAGCTGCAGCTTAGCTCTACCACGTAAAAATGTTCATGAAGAAGGATTCGATTTGAGTTTTTTGTAGCGATAGCGATTCAGAATAGCTCACTGCGGACAACTATTGTGAAGTGTTGAGAAGTTCAGGTCAGGAAATCGATGGTGTTTCGGCTTCAAGAGCTCGAAAAGCACGTAAAACTTTTTAATCCTGCGTCTGATCTCTATCCGGTCGTGTCGAATTGCCGTCACATCGGATTATGAGACTAGACTATGCCGTCATATCGGAATAGAGAGTACATCTGTGTTTGCGCAAACACTCGTGCAATATAGTCTTGTGCCGCGCAGATGTCTAGTCTCCGTTGAGACCGAATTCGGTTTGAAAGACATTATAATTTGAGAGCCACGGAACCGGAGAACTTTTTTACTGGAAATGAGGCATTCCATCTTAGTCCTCACAGGTGACAACGCATCTGCATTTTGATTCGTAATCGAGGATAGATGTAGATGTCTATGGCCCACAGCAACCACTTACTATCAGGTGGACTGTGTGCTCGTTTGTCAACCTTATTCTATAAAAAAAAATCAAGAGCTGAACGCTCACCTTAAATTTCACGTTCCCTACAATTAGGTGACGAAACAAATAAGGAGTTACCATCTATTTAGTTCGTTTCATGCCTCTCGTTCAATCTATGCACTGATGTGCTTTTGTTTGAAGGGTAGAAAGAGCCAAAAATTATAGGGTGTGTGTGAGACATTCCATTTTAAACCTCATCTAACGCATCTATGGCCATCGTAATGATATGATGCGAAATATACGGTAATTCACGCCGAGAACTTTACCCTCTACAAAGCGTAAGTCTAGTCGTGCTTGGAAGTATATTGTTACGTATGGGCTAATGCTGCAAAATGACACCTAGCAATGTTGACTCATTGCAGCAGTCATCAGGAATTACATGATTTAATTCCTCCCTTACTTTTCACTATCTAACAACCAGACGCTCGGCGGGTTTGCTTCGTTTTTCATAATATGTGCAGCGAATAAGTGGCATAATTTACCAGCCTCTGGTTTTCCATCTGATTACAATCTGGTTGTCTTTGAAATATTTGTGAATTAATTGAATGAAACTGGATTTTACAGATTTTATGGCTTTTAATTAACTTGTTTTATAATCCCGACGTTTCGATTATACTTTGCAGCACCTACATATGGTCATGGGGGCAGCACTGAGGAATTCGACGTCCCAATGTTATAGTTAACTATGGTTACCTTCAGTTTAAAATTATAAGTTTTTGATCCGATCTTCTGCATAGAAAGCACTTAAAATATCTTGAAGTATTTGCAGTGGTATGTTTGAGTAGTTGGAGTATAAAAATATATGACATAAATAACTGTATCTTTCGACTGCGTTGACTTAGAGATTGAGTTTTTAACACCTCGAATGAACTTCTACTATTTTATATTAATTTCAATTTGATATTTATTTTTCTTTCCGGAGAAAAATACGAACAGATGGTTAACAAAGTAATCGAAATATTCCGTTTTTACCTCTGAGGATTTTACCAATGGTTTTAACGTGGTAGAGCCACGTTGCATCTACATTACGGTTGTAGTTCAACCGGGGAAGGACCACGCTCTCATAGAACTTCAGCGTAAAGCTGCTATAGCTTAATACTGCTGTGTTTCGTATGGTGTGTAGAGAACCGGAGACCCTTATTACTGAAAACAAGGCATTCCATCTTAGTCCTCATTGGTGACAACGCAAGGTAGTTTATGGTTATCAACATATCTGGACTGTGTGCTCGTTTGTCACCCTTATTCCATAAAAACGGAACCCTAAATAAATGAAAGGCAGTGATAGCATACCGTTTCTTGTAGTGCCTGGGTGCGTGGTGCGCGTTGTGGCGCCGGCGCGCGTGCAGCCGCGCCGCGCCGCCCGACGCCTCGCTCGACCCAGAGCTGTCCGTTTCCGAGAACGCTGTACCAAACGGTGCAAATATTACAAGTCAATCGGTACTTTTTTTAATATACCACGTTTTTAAAGCGTAATTAAAAAGTATAAAACTTCCTTTTATTTTTATTTTTTTCATATTCTTACATTGTCATCCGATTCTTGACGGCTCTGTGGCGCAGTGGCTAACCAATCAGTTGTCGCACCGGGGGCCGCGGGTTCGAATCCAGCACGGAACAAGTATTTGTATGGCCTATAAATAATTGTTCCGGGTCTGGATGTTTGTCCTTGTGCAATTTATGTTTATAAACTACCTCCACGACACAGGAGAAAATCCTAGTGTGGGGGTAACGTTTTAAAAAAGACAAAGCCAAAGACAAAGCCAAGATTCTGAGCTGTGTTCAAAATTTCATCGGGCAATTAATTTAAAATAAATTACTAAATTCGACATGAACAGACATACACGATAGCAAGTTAATAAAAACAACGTAAAAATATCGGAAACATAATCAACGCAAACTTTCGCGGCAAACGAACGAGGACGACGAACAGCCAGAAAACGCGCGATCAACATCGATAGTATTGCCCTCTCGCTCACACTTATAGACTATATATTATTTTTTATTTATTATGATATTAGCTACAAGGCATTCAACCTAAAAGACTACATATTTTTTCAAAATATAAACATTAAAATTACCATTGCGATGTTTTTGGAAAATATTGAAGGGTGATTAAACCAGTAGATTTAGTCCATAATGATAGCATTCTTACTTCTCAAAACGCCTAAACGGACTAAATAGCGTGACGCTGAATATCACCATCATAGCAGATAATTTCACTAGTTCAAATGCGTAATCATTTAATATAAAAATCACTCAACATTTACGCATTAAAATCGACTTCAAACCATTATTTTAACGATAATATCGCGACTGCCATGAATGTCGACTTTAGCTATAATGAAAAAAAAAATAACATGTTGTTCTGATATGCGTCAAATGACGACTAACTTACATGGCTGATGTGTGTGTGATTTTTCGTGTCTTCGATGTCTTCTCAGTCTCGTCATTGACGGTGCTTCCATATATTCATTAGTCTCCTTAATCTGAAAAAAAAAGCAATCCAATATAGTAATTAATTTGCATTTACCAACCTGAAGTACGCTTTACAGTTGTTGTTATGACAATTATTCAAATAATATTAGAAAGTCAGCGAGCTTTTCGAGCGCTGGAAAATTTTGGCTTGTTTATTTCGAACTCATGTTGTACTCGCGACAGCTACTGATCACTGGATGAAAAAGAAACCAATCGGTCAGCGGAATTGATTCACCTCAAATTCAGCGTACGAAGGTCAGCCATGCTACAGCTATATCAATAGTACAGTTGTAGCATAAATGGGTCGGCTCGACCGGTGAAGGACCACGCCCTCAAAGAATAACAGCGTAAAATATCAGCATAATGCTGCTGTGTTTTGTTTGGTGAGTGTAAAGAACCGGAAATCCTTTTTACTCGAAAAGAGGCATTCCATCTTAGTCCTCACGGCTGACAACGCATCTACATTTTATTCGCAAAGTGGATAGATGTAGATGTCTATGGGTCACAGCAACCACTTACCATCAGGTGGACTGTGTGCTCGTGTGCTCGCTTGTCACCCTTATCCTATAAAAAAAAACAATAAGAATCGAAATAACTTTTAATAAACATGTGTTAGTGATGGTTTCAATATACATTACATTTGGAAACTTTAGATAGTTAACTTAAGTTAGTTAGAGCAGTTATCTATGAACAGGTATCTGCAGCGCGTAACGCACGTGTAAACTAACTTTAAACACAAACATGCAAGTCTGTTATAATAAAAAAATGTATATAAGAAATCATTATGCAACAGTCTGCTTTAATAGAATAATTTCTACGTAATAGCTTCTAACTCAGTGCATTGACAGCAAAAAATTAAAGCTCCGTCTTCAGAATCTACGATGTGAAAATTATTTTATTCTTTGTTTTGATTTAGGTTATTTAAATAAAAATAAAGAGCTAACAGTCGGTTTTGATGTATCGGCAGTGGCACCTGACTGCATTTACTCCACGTGCACACTCACTTCTAAACACAGACATGCAACTTTGAATTTTATAAGTGAGCATTAGAATAAAACTTTGGCGAGTGGACAGTGGTACATGCGCGTACTACGACTACAAACACAAACAACCGTCTTTTCTTAAGCAAAAACAACTGTCTTTTTAAAACAAAAACATTAGTCATTCGAGGCGTCGACAGTAGCGTTGCCAGATTAGTGTTCAACCAAAGCGCGATTTTTGACACTGAACTGAGAAAGTTAGCTCTAGTAATAAGCGGAACACAAGTTTTTTTTTACATTAATAGGACTTCTTTAAGTGGTTTTACGTGTGTCAGCGTTGGTACCAACGTGTACTAAGTATCGAGTTCAGATTCGGAGCTGACAATCAAACTTGATACATATAATAGAGGTGCATATAAACTTTTTTTATCTACACAAGACATGCAAAAGTAAACTTTAATAAATGTACTTTAGAGCTGCTTCCAATTCGCCTTATAGTTGTGCGTTACGTTATGAACATGCATGTGTCTCTGCGCGAACAAAACAACGTTAAACATAAAGATGCAAAAGTAAACTCTAATGCGTAAGCGTTATAGTCGCAATGAGTGTGTCGGCGTTGGTACCTGCGCGTATTGCGCGTCGAGTTCAGTCTCGGAGCTGACGCCAGAGGGGTGGTGGTGATGCGCGGCGGCTGTGCCTGCGTGCGTCCAGCCCGAGCGACCGCACTGCGGGTTAGTGCCGTTACCATGTTATACGGCCATCCGGCTCGCAAGACCAATTGCTCTACCGGTGATATAATACCAGGCAAGTTCGACGATAAATAAGAAATCATCAATTTACTAGAGCCGCCTCACTGTGAACCTAGTTTTTAGCCGACTTCAAATAAGGGGAGGTTCTCAATCCGTCGGTATGTTTTTTTTTGTATGTATGTTACGCGTTATCTTCGTCCATTGTGAATCGATTTTAACTCTTAAATAGATAGGGAATGGTTCCATATTATAATACAGTGACAAATATTCACCTTTAAGGTTGGAAAAAGGGAATTAAGTATGTAAATATTAAGACAACATTCTAGTTGTTAATTTAGTTTTTTATTAATAATATCCTGGTATTATTATTAGTTCTATTAACAGCTCCTACAGAGAAGAAGTTTCCGTGCTCAAATATATTGATAGCGACAAATAAAAGTAACACTAAAATGTCTTTCGAAAGACATTACTTCAATAATTAATGATTAGTGAAGAAATCCTAATACAGAAGTTTATATACATAATAAAATATATTTCGTGGTTTAAATTGTAATATTTAAGTACCATAAATGTATACTAATGAATGTACAATCATATTCGCTTCTAACAATGCACTGTTTTTTTTTTTACCTAGTTAAAAATGTATACAGAATTTTACATTTTTTATTAAGGTTATAAATTCTATTTAGAATTACATCAAGAACTTACTTTGCCAATGTACTTAAATTATGATGTTGCCAAGTATTATTTCACTTACTCACGATTAAAACATAATAGTTAATGTAATTAGTACAATGGCTATTCTTGTTAAATACATAACGGATAATGACCGATAATTATTTACACAGATGATCACGATTTAAAATAACTTTATTAACATGATTGAAGAAATACTGAATGTTCAAATTTTATATGAATTTAACAAAACTATTATACACAACTATTTTGTAAGTATCAAAAAATTTAAGTACAGTTGCAGATGTTACTAGTGATAATGGCCCTGTCAGAATTTTTTATTATTTATCTATCACACCGTTATTGAGGTTCTTGATTTTTTTTTGTAATTTCTAAATATAGGGTTATGATTATAAGCTAGTATTATTGTATAAAGTTAAAACATTAAAATGAAATCTTTAATTGATCTTAGTATTCATTGTTAAATATATTGTATAATCTCAAGTTATGTTGTTGATGACATTTTGTCAAATGACGGATAAGATATTCAGGCCCACCTATACTATTCCTCAATCATGTCAAGAGATAATGGTTGTCAATCACAAGGAAAATCATCAAAGCCACCCATTCAACTTTATTTGTAATAGGTAATATTATATGACATACCTTTCTTTCTCTCGAGTGCGGTGGCCCAATTGTAATATGCTGTAGCGCGTCGCTGACCATTGTATAATTGTTCATGTCTAATTTGCCTGGTTGCTGTAGGATTTATTAAAAGTATTATGAGATAACAATTAAATATATATTAGATGAAACATATGTGCTAATAATATGATCATATTACATTTTTTCATTTAAATACATAAGAATATTACACTCTCTATTCTTTTTTTATTTTAGAAGTTAAAATGAGTCTTTAGTTTAGGATTATATCTAAGGTAAAGGATATATTCATAAAATATAAACTTTGTTATGATTACAAACTTGTCAACAATTTTGTAGGAAATGCTGAGGTCTATGATTGTTTTAATGGAAATATGTACCAATATTTATGTCCTAAATTACGATGACGTGAGTCGTTTCATATTTAGGGACTAAAGCAAGGGCACACAAAGACTATGAAACACTATTGTGTTTCATAGTCTTTGTTAAGTTTAATGTTCTTTTTTGGGGCACCTATCATATCATAATATGAGCCAAATTGTTAAAAAGGAGCAAGTCCAACATTTATTACTTATTTTTATAAATATATCTATTTAATATATGTATTAAACGGCAAAAGAGGGAAATGAAACAGTAGTGCATCATTTTACTGATAACAACTCAAAAATAATGAAAAATTACGTTCGCCAACCCACCTTACAAGCCTGGCGACTATGACAAATATTTACCCGAAAGTGAAATAATTTTTTCATGTGGCAATATATACGCTTTTACAATATAGTTGTAGAAAATATAAAGGTCCTATTTATCTAAAAGTTTAAAATAATAATCAAGCAAAAACTATTTAATAAGAGCTATAATACTACTTATGGGTACACGATTGATAATAAGCCCTGACTTTTGACAGGCCGTATTGAAAAATGAAAAAAGTATAAAAAGGTGACCTTGAGCGAGAGAGTCTGCGAGTGGCGCGTGCGCTGCGGCGGCGGCTGCGGCTGCGGGCGCGCGCGCCCCGTCGTGAAGGCGCGCTGCCCGTAGCCCGCCGACTGCCAAGCGCCGCCGCCGCCGCCGTCTGTACCGCACGCCTCAACTTAATCCATTGCCAATTTGTTTTTGACACTTTATTCAATTCAAATATTTTTAAGAGTTGTCAGAACAAATATTTCTATAGAAATTGTATGAAAATACACTGCAATAACGTCATTAATAATCGTATTCCCATGTTTATAAATATTAGTTATCGCCTAGTGATGAAAATTCCACAGTACTTCATTATTTTTACGTTTCTACATTTATCAAGCTGTATATCACTTACAACTGTACATTAATATATAAAACACAGTTATCTAATATACAAAATGTTAAATAAACGTTTTTTTGTCTTGATATTCACTCAATACACTATTGAAAAAGGACCATTTTAAGGTGAAAGTTCCAGGGTGGCCCGCGAAATTCACTTTCTTACGATTTTTGGAATTTGTAGGTCGGTTAGGTTGTATTTTTAACAAAATATAATTCGCGTATAATACAGAATTATTATCATTAAAATCACCAATACAACCCTCTAAGTTCATATAATCCCTTTGAATTATTTTTTCTGAAAATAGCCATACAATGGGATTATACATTCCTGTTTTTGATTAGGATTATAGGGTTGTATTGATGATTATAATGATTATAATTCTGTAAATACATACTCATTACGGTCACGAATCATATTTTGTTAAACATACAACCTGACCCTGACCTAAAAATTGCAAAACATGTAAGAAAATTTGAATTTCGCGGGTTACTCTGATGCTTTCACCTTAAATAACACAAAATTCCTTATTCAGTAAATTTGTCAGTAATTATTTGTTAGCAACATTTTAAAAGTCTTTAGCGACAATCTCTACCCTATGCGACTATTTCACCACAGAATATCAAATGTTTGACATTAGCCTTAGACTGTATAATTTATAAAGATTTTTGGCTTGGATACTTGTCCTTTTAGCCACGTCTTCATTTCATTTGAAATCTTTGTTTTTATAGATTTCCAGTATCAACGATAATAACCCTTTATAGTACACTGCTTAACAACATATTGATGCGTAAGTTAAAGGCTACTGTTTTTACTATCGTATCCTTCGAGATATCAATTATGGACCGACCAGCTGGTTGGCCGTAGACTATTATCTAATATGTAATTCAAATCGTAGTAAGGCCGTACTAGGTTTCGAATACAAAGTCACATTACATGTATTTAATACAAAAGTCCTCTCTGAAGTAAAATAGCATATTTAAAATGCGCTAGTATTGTATCTTTCCGAAACCACCATCAAATAAGCTATTTTTTTTATGTTTGCTGTACAAAACTGTCACATTTTTTTCACCACTGTAGGTTTAGTTAAGCAATAAGAAAATCGTTCAGTATAAAATAATATTTAAAAAATGTATTTCTTGAACACATTCCTTCTTTAGTTTTTGATAGAAAAAGACATCGTTGAGTAGAGTGTCTTTCACAAATAACTTGATGTAAAAAAATATTAGAAAAGGAATTTTTCATTACGAGATGCTTAAAAATCTGATTAAAGATTTAGAAGATTTTTCGATATTTTGAAAAATTTTGCATAACTGTAAATCCGTAACATTTTGCGGAACATATATTGTAGATGTTGGCCCAAGCTATCACCCCTGCACTATGACGTACTATTTACTGGACATCTTGTATACTAAAATATGCTAATAATCTAATTTAAAATCATCTTTTCTCGCTCAAAAGCTAAGTATAGCCATTCAGCGAGTTAACGCAACCAAAATTCTTGACACTATACCACAAGGAGTAGCACTGTATGATAATTTAAGTTTTTAGTTAGTTATTTTTTTATAATAGTAAATAAACATTGTAGTATATTCAAATTGGAATATCGATCAAGTCGGATTGGAAGATAAGTAACAAATTCAAATGACATATATAATAAAGTAATTTTCACAAAGTAATAATGGCTGCGTAAGACAATCCCTTATTCTTTATATTAATTATTAATAAATGAATAAGTTAGATTTATTCAAAAATTAAATTTTAAAATCGCAAGTATGGTAGTTTTACTGTTTCGATATTTAAATATTATTATCCGGTACACATTTTACTATCCACTTCAATTACGTATGTATTATAGTGAATTTATAAGTCATCATCAGTTGGTAATAGATACTAAACCTAGTATATTTTTATTTAAACAATTCCCATAATCAAGATAAAAATGTATTCCGAGATATCTACGTTTTATATTTACAACAATAAAAACAACATAGACAACCACATTTAAAATACCTTGAAACAAAATATTAATACTACCTTTACCTCAATTAAGCATTCCTTAAGATTACTCCCTCATATAGGTAAAATTATCATAACGAAAAATAAATTATACTTATTTTCATTTACATTGACACAAATTATTATAATTGATTATGATTACTAAAATGAATTAATAATAAGATTGTTTAACAATAAAACATATCAAAAATTTTATAGCAGCTTAAAGTGGACAATGCAATACAATTAGATGCATATTATATTTAAAATTGATTGCAATAAACACTACTGAATTCTAAAATACAAAATACTATGAACAAAAATTATCTCTAGATGTAAAAAAAAATAAACAAATATCATAAGGTGGTCTATACTACTCCATTCATGCAACAAAAAATAAAACAAAAACATTCCTTGTAATCAATAAAAACTTCCTGTTTTGGACAAGACAAATCTATCTACACACAAAACTGAACCTGCCCACTAGTGAAATAAGGTCTATACTCGCTTGTTGTGCAATCACCTGACTCGTGCGTGCTCAGCGAATCCTCGGAACAGTTGAGATCGGCTGCATTTCAAGGTTTAATTAAATTTCAAATTCCATATAAATAAGGTAAACTATACAGAACTTAAATAATGTTTCAATTAATTTTGGAAATACAAATGACACGGTTATATTGGACGTTAACCAGTTTCTCCGTAGAGCGTTCTCAAAGGCCCATCTAAATAAATATCATCTAAACATTGAAGAACTGATTCGCTTCAAAGATGGCAGCAGAAATAGTGTGTGCTATATTTATTGGCTAATTAGTAATCATATACGAAGACTAGAAAAGTGTGGTGCCATCGGGATCGTGCTATGATGGATTTAATAAGTTAAGTTGCCAGTTATTAGGTCCGTGACCCACATCTTAACGTAACAATGTTTCAGCCTTTATCGCAAATATTTCTAAGATCGAGGACATAGAAGAGTCTATCACGCTGCTCCAGTGCATAAAATTTTTATTTTTCAGAAATTATTTTCTAACTTCACCGCTATGAATGTGAGGGATCAATTGCATGTAGCTCACAACGCTAGTTAACTTTGAAATTCATGGTGAGAGCTGGACCCCTTAAACCCTTAACTGTTAAACTGACCCCACAAATGCTTCTTATATAACATTTTTAAACTATGAAAATAATGTTTACTAAGATGACGCAATTATCATCTCATAATAATAAGAAAACCATAAATTCAAAATATAAAAAATAATATGAGAGTATAAAAAAACCTTTGATTAATTCTCAAAATATTAGACCTTTGAGAGAAACTTCTTTTACCTTTTTGTAGAAATTGCGCACCATTTATTTTATTTTATTTTAAATTTCATTTAATGTATTTCAAAACGCTTTAGACACTCTTTGACCGTAATGGATACAACATAAATTTTATTATTGAATTATAGACCAAAATGCACATGACTTACGTGAGAGATCTGCGTGCATTCTGTGATCGGGCGGAGCAGGTTCAGGTGGAGTGCTGGGCGGCGGGTAAACGCTGAAACCTGCAACAAAAATCATACAAATAATACAGAAAAACTCAAATACAAGTAAACATGTTATATATTGTGGTGTGTGCAGTGTGTACAATAATGTACGAGTAATTTCAAAAAATTATTACCCTTAAGGAATCCCCTATTCTTGGAGTTGTTCAATGTGTCACTGTACTCGGAGTCAATGTCAGCCCGCGAGTCCGGACCGATGAGAAGATCGAGCGAGTTCGTAAGTTTGTGTTCCATCCTAAACAGAGTGTATTAATAAATTAAAAATAGTGTAATAAATTTTATGGACAAAATTAAGCAAAAAAAATTATAATTTCTGTGGGTATGATAAAAGAGTGCACTGTTCAACGATGGTTAACAGTGAATTTTATATAAACATGCAATGTAAAATTCACCTTATTTAACGAATTTCACAAATTGAAACTAAAGTGTGAGATATACTGCAGTGCAAGTACTATACTAATGTTAAATACTCGCTAGCCGCGGTGACCGCTTATTGATTCTTATATGGTTGAAGGACAGTGTGCGCTGGCTCGCGGTAGTTTATTAATAAGTGCGGGTAATTTAATAATCATTGATGAGGTTTAGTGGGTATAAATACCCGTTTTAATATGCTTTACTTGATGGTAAGTGGTTGCTGTGACACATAGACATCTATATCTATCCTCGATTACGAATCAAAATGCAGATGCGTTGTCACCCGTGAGGACTAAGATGGATGGCCTTTTTTTCAGTAAAAAGGACCTCCGGTCCTCTATACTCACCATACGAAACACAGCAGCAATAAGCTGCTATTTTACGCTGGTATTCTGTGAGAGCGTGGTCCTTCCCCGGTCGAGCTGACCCATTCGTGCTACAACTATACTACTAATATAGCTGCAACATGGCTCTACAAAAATCGTTGGACGTTGTTGATTATTGATTTAACATAAGTTAAAATGGCCGCTTTTTGGAAAGCAACATTAAACGAGTTGGAACAAATATTCAACCTCAAGCGCGCATTGTTATTGTTTTTAACGGAAGTTAAATAAGATCCCGACCCCGATCAACCAAGCTCGTGAACCAACTACTAAGATTTGTGGGGTCAGTTTAGAAATTGTGGGGAAAATTAGCAAAACGATCATAGTGAGAGATTTAGATGACTTCGACAAAAGTGTAATCAAGCGAATAGTGTCATTAGTTTATTCTAATGGTGAGTATCCTGACATTAAAAAGGGTTAGAAAAGGCTAAAGAAAGCATCGATTAACTTAAATACGTCATAGAACTATGACGTATATATTGATCGATCTGGGATACAAATGTAAAACAGCTTCCGATGGAAGGTCGCAGCAGATGGAGAGAAGAGATATTGAGTGTAAGTATGTATTTTTGACCAATTGTTTTAATTTTAAATGTAATTATTGAATAGTTTTCTTTTTATTTTGCATTCCTTACTTTCTCATAATATACACATCGACACGACAGTGATGCGTCACTATGCCTGCCGTAAATGCGACACAGAGCGCAACAGGCGGCGTCCTGTTTTCCCATTTTATTTTGCGCGGCACCACGGACAGCTAATGATTGACATTAGTATAAGTGAGAATGCCTTGTTACTAGTAGGGTTTCAGTTAATTGCGATAACTTTTGTTAGCGATATCGCAAAAGATATTATGTCAATTGCACCAACTATCGGTTTTTATTCGCAGTGTATGTAAGTGACTTGCATCAAGTCGTAGTTATAATATCTCAATAAACTGCGACAGCTTCTTGTAATTGTAATGTTAAATGTAAGGTATGCGAGTTGTAGTAATTTGTATTGAAAATGTTGGAGTTAATCGTCACACTAGCTAGTGGTCGTAAGTGTGTTGTGTATAAGTGTGTTGTACAAGTGTACATGATCATATGTGTGCAATGTATTAATGAACTGTATTACGCGTGCTCGCGATTGTGCCGTGTTAAAAGTGAGTTGCACCAACTTTTGGTTGCGAGTGCGCAAAGTATAAGTGCGTTGTAGCAGATTGTGGCCCTAAGTGTATAGTATGTAAGTAAGATGCACCGACGTGTGGTAGCGAGTGTGTAGTACATAAGTGAGTTCTACCAACGTGTTACTCCGAGTGTGCAGTGTATAAGTGAGTTGCACCAACATGAGGGCGCGAGCGTGTAGTGTATAAGTGAGTTGCACCAAGGTGTGGTCGCGAGTGTGCAGAGTGGCAGTGAGTTGCAGCAACATGTGAACGCGAGTGCGGTGTGTACAGTGAGGAGCACCAACTTGTGGTCGAGGTGGTAGGAGTGGTTGCGCGGCGGCGGCGCGGGGCGCGCGGCGGCCACGTCGGGCAGGTTGTGCGGCTGCTCCATGCGGAACGCGCGCTCGATCTCGCCCTTGCGCTCCCACACCTCCTTGAAGAACGGCGTGTAGAACGCCGCTGGGGGTAAAGGGATACAAAACCTTTTAAAGTCATGCCGGTATCTTAAACACGAACAACTTCCAAGACTGTCACATAGGAACATAAGTTTACGTGTTTAAAATGTTACATGTGTCTAATGTAACGCTTATGAGATAAAATAATAACAGAATAGAATGCAATGTCAAAAACGCAGGGACAACCTTAATATAAGCCAATCAGGAATTATATAAACTATTAGTATATATTAGCACCAGAGAGGTTAATAGCGTACTATGAAACTTAAGACGTGAAAACAAAACCTGAACCTTTGCTACTTCGGCTTATTCTTCCAGTTTACACTTATTTACACTTGAATTTGAATCAAAGTTTTAATAAGTTTAGGGTATAGACTACGACTCTAAGTCGGAGGTTACACGCTCAATTTGGCGTCAGTTCAATCCATGATTGACGTCAGAATGACGGGAAACTGACTGTATACGCGTAGACTGATGGACTGATAGTCAAGAATGATGATTATTTAAATATTTTAATAATTTTTGTCAGTCAGTTCAGAAGAGAAGGTAAACGGGATTAAGTTTTACCTGATATTTTTTAGAGAAGAGGAAACAAACGATCATACAGTTCATTTGATAGTAAGTAATCACCTCACTTCTAGCATAATAATTTATTATATTAGTATATTCTAGAGATAACTCAGTATCTTTAAAAGTAACTTACATTTACTCTCCGCACTTGATGTGTACGTAGTGAAATGGGCCCCCAGCCTATCTGCAGTCGCGTTGCCCTCTGTGATGAGCGCGTGTCCGAGATCAGTACCGAAGAACGCATTAGCGGCAGACCCACCACCGTCAGTCACTGCCACCATTTGTATCGGCAGGTTGGGAATGTTCATTGAGAATGCGCTGAAATATATTAACATTTTAAATCATCATTGGGCCGTAAAAGATGACCTACGGCAGTACCTCACACGAAGATAATAAGACTTTCTAACACGATTAGGACTCACTTGAGAGTGGCTAAGCTTGCTTTCCTCTTAGCGGAGTATATTAGTATGAAGCCATGTATCAACTCCTCTCTAAATTGACTAGCACCATGAAAACTTGATATAATAACCTACAACAATAAAATATATATTTTTATGTTAAAATTGTTATCATTTATTAAATATGTGTAGTTTTTGATTATACAATCAGAGAAACAAAAATGCTACACAATGTGGTTTAATGAGACACATAATATTAATATCAGGAGTCACAAAAAATAATATACATATGTTTGTCATACATGTATCGTATGGCAGAGACGAAAAGGACGCCCTAGACTAGACGAAAGTTTATCGAGCAAATTTGCAATATATTACAAATGGGCCAGATGAGGAGCACCCTTAATCGACGATTATGTATGCGTAGGTATATGGATGTAAAGGACGCGAGAGAGGTATGTCAGGATCGTACCAAATAGAAGTCCGTAGTCTCTGCCTACCCCTCTGGGTGACAGGCGTGAATATTTATGTTACATAAATATGTCTCTCCGATAAGATAATTGCTGGGATAACCACGCAAAATAATACAGCGAGTTTTTTGTATTCTAGGGAAGCTTTAGCCAGCACACACATCTGACCTAGACCCGATAGTGTATGTTCCGCATAAACTGAAAAAACAAGTTAAAAAAGAAATGCAGCAACAGTTAGCTTTTTTTTCTCCTCATCATCAGCCTATAAAAGTTCACTGTTGAAAATGGGCTTCTCTCGCTGTAGGGAGAATATGCCTTAATCATCACACTTGGCGGCGGATCACAGTATAAAGTCTCGCAGTTACGATCCTGCTCCCAGTCGTCAATCAGGGTGTTTCAGCATAAATAAGATATTATACCGCGATCTATCATCGGAAACCATAGTATTTTTCTAGTATTTCACTTAATCGCCTCTAGCGATACACACGGTACAAAAGGTAATGGGTGGATAAAATTAATCACTAGTAACCACGATTGAATATATATTACTAATCAAAAATGAGAAAGTATATGTTGGATGTCGGTTCTTGAGTAATGCTGGAACGGCTAGACAAATGAAATTAATGAAATTTGACATATAAGTAGATGATGGGCGGGTAACACATAGTAAAACTATAAGCTCACTATAATGCAGGCAGGTTTATGATGTGACACAGTTGTTTGTCCGACACATTAGGAAAATTTATATTCGTTTATATTGTCGACATAAATAAGATATGACAGTATTTACTATCATATATAATAATAACAAAAAATGTTGAGTTGAAACAATTAGAATACTAGGAACTCACCTCGACTTTCCTCTTAGAATCTCCTAGAAACGTCTCTATGACAATAGACCTATCGCCGGTGAGGAAACAGGCTCTATGCAGCAGTAACGGGCTGAGCACACGTTCCGGTGAATATGGATCGTCGCAAAACATACACACCATTATTCTGCAATAATAATAAAAAAAATATTACTATACTACTTGAGCTTACAATATTTTTACGAAAAATTCCCCATTCCTGTCTAGCCTTTTTTATAATATTGGGTGACAAGGAGAACGAAATTAGTCGAAAAATCTTTTGAAAATTCTGATTGCCAATGGTAACAGAATATTATTATTGCTAGCGCTCATCTCGTCGAGTTCGACGAGACGTTCACAGACTACCAGATTATGTGCTAATGCAATGTACTAGTGGGCTCTAGAAACTAAATATTATATCAAAATTAAAAGGAAATTTAAGAAATATAACGTCAAAAATATTTTTGTAATAATAAAAAATATTTTTTACGTGGTAGAGCCATGCTGCAGCTATATTAGTAGTATAGTTGTAGCACAAATGGGTCGGCTCGAGGGGAAGGACCACGATCTCCTAGAATATCAGCGTAAAATAGCAGTTTAACACTGCTGTGTTTCGTATGGTGAGTGTAGAGAATCGGAGACCCTTTTTCCTGGAAAAGAGGCATTTCATCTTAGTCCTCACGGGTAACAATGCATCTGCATTTTAATTGAGGAATTGAATTACTTTATTGAGGATAGATGTGGATGTCTGTGGGTCACAGCAACCACTTACCATCAGGTGGACTGTGTGCTCGTTTGTCACCCTATCCTAAAAAATATATATAAATTCGAATATCTCTTGTTAATTGCTATGCTATTTTTAATCTGAAAAAAAAAAAACGTAAGGAAAAGACGCTTCCTGGGTCCATTCGCTGGCCGTCTTTTGTACACCCTAAACTAGAACAATAATTTTAGTAGTATTTATTAAAAATATTTAACACGAACAAAGAACAATTTCGAAATACAATTCTTCTAACCGTATATCAGAGTCGAAGCAAACGATGAGATCTCTGTACAGATGAGCATAGCTGGCCTTCTCTCGGTTAGTCCTTATCAGTTCTTGTATAGCGTCCGCCGTTAGTGCCTCCGTACCTAGCTCGTTCACAGATGCCTCCATGTACGAACAGTGTAAACTGTAATAAATATTACGTGTTGTTAATGACATTAAACTAAGATCGATATCGATATTAAAAAGATTGAATGTGACACTTTTATTTATGGCAATGCTATACAACTAATTTATTAGAGCATTTAAGTGGAGGTAATAAGCCTCCAATTAAATCCACTGTGGGGACTTGAAACATTGTTGGAACTTACTTATCAGCGAGATTTTGACCCTCTTCCTGCAACCTTGCAAGTTCCTTCTTATCCATATTTTCATCTTGAACAAACATCACCACCAATGGAAGACCCTAAAATAATAAAAATTGTTATTACACATTCTGACAAAGGTATACAAGCGTTGCCTTTATGGCACTAAACGATACTAAATCTAGGCTCTGAAAGTAAGCAGAATCAAAATATCGTTTTTACTCAACTCGTGTGACTCTACACATGTGGGATTCTAAAATTATATGGGAAAATACATAGGGCTGCACTAAAAGTATCGGGAATGGAATATTTCCACTGTTCCTGTCATATTTAAAATCTTTTTAACGGAGTGTTGCAAAAAAAATTGTGGCCACGTTTGTCTAACTGTTTGTAAAACCGGCCATGTTACGACTATTCCTCTTGAGGGACAAAGAACGGTTAATGCAGAATGGTATGCTAGCATTTGTTTGCCACAGGTCGTTTCTGAACTCCGTAAAGAGAACTGCCACCGCCGCATCATCCTCCATCACGACAATGCGAGTTCTCACACCGCACACAGAACAAAAGAGTTTTTAGAGCAAGAAAACAGAATTATTAGACCATCTGCCGTACAGCCCCGACCTAAGCCCTAATGATTTCTATAAAATTGCGTCTAATTAAATTGCGTGGACATAGATTTTCATCATCTGAAGAAGCTGTGGACGCCTGCAAAACGGCCATTTTGGAGACCCCAACTTCCGAATGGAATGGTTGCTTCAATGATTGGTTGCATCGTATGGAAAAATGTGTCAAATTTCGCGGAGAATACTTCGAAAAGCAATAAATATATTTTTAAATAGTAATGTTGTGTTACTTCCTTGATTCCCGAAATTTTCAGTGCCGCCCTCGTAAGATATTAAAAAAATTGTTCTTACTTGAAAGGGCAGTTTATCTTCTTGCTCAAGACTTGATAAGAGTGTCTTCTCCGCGCAATTTCTAATGAATTCAAAAGATTCTTGATCTTGATATACACAGAAGTATCCTAAAGCAAAACAAATCACATTGAAAAAATAAATTTTATAGTGTTTGTGGATTCGAATGTATTATTTCAGTAATGCTGTAGTGAACTCCGTTCCGGGAACAAAATGCCAATGAACTACAGCATCTGGGATCTCTTAAAGAAGCTTAACAATTTTGGGGGACGTAATATTATTATGGCTTTACACTTGCCATACGAAATAAAAGCATTAAGCTGCTCTTTTATGCTCGTATTCTATGAAAGCGAGTCGACCTGTTCGTGCTATAATCATAATGTAATTGCAGCTGCACTAATTTTTTTTTAAATGTTTTAAATGGGTTTATTGCTCGCTGTAAATTTTACAGTACGCGAGAAATCCGGGCTCGATTTTTTTTTATAGGATAAGGGTGACAAACGAGCACACAGTCCACCTGATGGTAACTGGTTGCTGCGGCCCATAGACATCTACATCTATCCTCTGTTACAAATCAAAATGTAGATGCGTTGTCACCCGTGAGGACTAAGATGGAATGCCTCATTTTCAGTAAAAAGGGCCTCCGGCCACCTGCACTTACCAAGCGAAACGCAGAGGTAAACTTCTACTTCACGCTGGTTTTCTGTGAGGTCGTGGTACTACCCCGGTTCGAGCCGGCCCATCCGTGCGACAGCAAAAGCTGCCGCGTAGCTCTATCACCGTTAGAATCCCCGCCGGCACCAATTAAATTGTTAATTGTAATTTAAAGTGCTAATTTACCACATGCTCGGCGGTGAAGGAAAAAATCGTGACGAAACCTATATGTCTGAGAAATAAGAAAAAAATATTTTAAAGGCATGTGTAGTTCGCCAACACGCAGAAGGGCATCGCGGCGAGCATTTCCTTGTCCTTAAACCGTCTCAGAAATGAGAGGAGGCCTGTGCTCAGCAGTGGGAAGTATATATGCTGTAAGTTTATAGCGTAGTGCGTACCATTGGGCGCGAAGTCGTCGGTGTCGTCGGGCGCCGTGTCCGCGGAGGCGAGGCGCAGGCGCTGCGCCACGCGCCAGGCCTGCCCGCGCACGCACACGCGCCGCGCCGCGTCGCAGCCCGCCGCCAGCCGCGACCCGAACTCGCCCGCCACGCCCTCCATCTGACGCACACGCACGCAACCACGCACACGTCACATACAAACATTACTACTCGTGCGGATGAACATTGGGATTAGAAATGGCAGCCGCCGACTGTGTGCGTGGCGGCCTGTAGCAGTCCGGTGAACACCTATGCTTGTCACCATACACGGTACGGAAAACAAAAGCGGTGCTTATAACGTTACATCGTTATATTAGACAACAATATTATATTTATAAAAATGTTATGTTAGTATAAGAATAATTTTTCATATTTTATATACAAATTCAAGAAATTTTTTTTTCAAAGTTTAATTACATTTAAATATAACATATTCCCGTATAGTGGCAGTTAAGAATATCCACTACACCATATCATTTTTGTATATAAAGCAAGCTATTTCACTTTAAACTCATATAGAAAATATAAAATAAACACTTTTTTGGCTTGACCAAGCCTTAACGTAAACATCACAGACTATTGATGAAGAAACATTTGAAATCACACAATTAAGTTGTAATTATTTGTTGTTGCCGTGTAGTGGCGGTTCGCCATGTAATGGCGGTTAAGAATATCCACTACTCCCCATATCTTCCCGTGGGTGTCGTAAAAGGCGACAAAGGGAAACAGTCAGGAAATGGGCAGCAGCATCTTCCTGATAACAGCAAAGTTACAATAAAAAAACTGCGGTTGGCAACCCGCCCGCCAAGCGTGGCAACTATGGCAAATACCCCCTATGATGAGAGTAACAAAGAGACGACCCCCAGTCCCCGGCGGCCCCGCTATTCCTGGCTACGATGGCGACCATGGTAACGACGGGGCAGGGGGTGCTAAGAATCTCCGGTAGAGGTTCGGTTGGCACCTAAAACGACTCGACCTGGCAACATACAACGCATTCACCCTGAGGCCTGACGAGACGATCGTGAAGCTGGAAGAAGAGATAGACAAGTTACGCTGGCATATTATAGGATTATCCGAAATCCGACGAGAGACGACTTGCTCTATCACCGGGAGGACGACCATCTGTCCCAAGGAGGTGTCAGATTTATCGTCCATAAGTTTCTCGTTAACAACGTTGTAAAGATTGAGAGTGTGTCGACGAGGGTTGCGTACCTTATACTCAGAATCACCAAACGGTATTCGCTGAAGATCATACAGGTTTGCGCACGAAACTCGGCACATCCCGATGAGGAAGTGGAGGAAATGTATGAGAATATCTCTAGAGCCATGCATTCCTCCAAAACCTACTACACGCTGTTAATAGGAGACTTCAATGCACAAGAGAGAACGGTGAGCTGAAAGTAGGGAAATTTGGAATAGGGCAACGGAACCCAAGGGGCCAGCAGCTGGCCGACTTCATGGAGAAAGAGGGAATCTTTATGATGAACTCTTTCTTCCAGAAGCGGTCCCACAGGAAGTGGACCTGGTCGAGCCCCGACGGTTCCACAAAAAATGAGATTGACTTCATTATGACGACCAGACGACAACTGTTCAGTGATGTCTCAGTGATCGCGAGGGTGAAAACCGGCAGCGATCACCAAATGGTTAGAAGCACACTGAACCTAAACGTTAAGTTGGAGAGGTCTCGTCTAATGAAGTCAACGCTCAGTCCCCCTCGTGCTCTGTTCCAAGGTCACGAAATCTTTCAGCTCGAGTTACAAAACCCTTTTCAGTGCCTAGAAGACTGCAATGAAGTGGACGATATGAATGACAAGCTCGTGGAAACTATCCATGCGGTCGGAGCTAAGTTCTGCAAGACCCGCCGCAGAAGAACACAAAAACTCTCCGATCACACTCTCAATCTCATGGTTGTTAGACGGGAGATGAAGCTACATTCTTCAACAGATTTGACAGCATACAGGCAACTGAACAGACAGATCTCCAAATGTATGCGGCGGGACTTACGCAACTTCAATACAGCTTGTATTGAAGAAGCGATCGAGCGGAACCAAGGCTCCAAAGTCTTTGCCAGAGATCTGTCTGCCAGAAAGAGCCAACTGTCAAAGCTGATGACCGAGTGTGGCAGCATCGTTTCTGTCAAAGCTGAAGACCGAGTGTGGCAGCATCGTTTCCGGGGCACCTGAGATTTTGATTGAGATTGAGAGGTTCTATGGGCAGCTGTACACGTCATCGTTGGAGCCACACGCAAGTGTGAGTAACGATCCAAGAGCGAGTCTTATCCGACACTATTCCGAAGATATCCCGGACGTCAGTCTGAGCGAGATTAGAATGGCTCTCCAGCACCTTAAAAACGGAGGATGGAATTACAGCGGAGCTTCTGAAATCGGGTGGAAGACAGGTACTTAAAGTCCTTCAGAAGCTCTTTAATTCCGTCCTCCCATGGTGGCTCTACTCCAGAGGCGTGGAGCAGATGTGCGGTGGTCTTGTTCTTCAAGAGAGGTGACAACGCTCTCTTGAAGAACTACAGACCGATTTCCCTTCTGAGCAGCGTCTACGTGCTGTTTTCGAGAGTCATTACAAATCGTCTCGCGCGCAGACTTGACGACTTCCAGCCTCTCGAACAAGCCGGTTTCCGAAATGGCTTTAGCACCATAGATCACATATATACCCTTCGACAAATTGTACAGAAGTCCGAAGAGTACAATTTGCCACTATGTCTGGCGTATGTGGACTATGAGAAAGCCTTTGATTCCGTCGAAATTTGGGCAGTGCTGCAGTCCCTTCAGCGGTGCCAAGTTGACTGTCGGTATATCGAAGTGCTGAAGTGTTTGTACAGTAGAGCTACGATGGCTATAGGAGGTGTAATACAGGTTGACGCTATATCCCCGAAACTCTTCACCGCTGCATTGGAAAACGTTTTCAAGCTTCTGGACTGGAAAGGATACGGTATTAACATCAATGGCGAGTACATCACTCACCTTCGATTTGCCGACGATATAGTCCTTATGGCAGAATCGCTGGAGGATCTAAGCACCATGCTCAATGACCTCAATAGTGTCTCCCAACGAATAGGTCTTAGGATGAACATGGATAAAACTACTATTTATGCCGATCTTGCTCCACTTTTCTACCGACTTCAATAAGGAGGAGGTATACAATTCGAGTGTATGTTTTTTTTTAATGTGTGTTACTACTAACTTTTTTTTGAACCGATTTCAATTATCTTTTTTTTATTTGAAAGCTGGTGCTCCTCATGTGGTCCCATATAAATTGGATCAAGGTCTGACCCGTAGTTTAGAGTTATCCTTAATAATTTATATTGAAGTCGGTTCTAGAAACATTTTTATTTTACCACTTGTTCAAAATTGCATCGACTTTACCCGTATGTCTTAAGCATCTCATTAATAACGTTGTAAAGATTTTGAGTATGTTAAACGAGGATTGCGTACCTCATACTTAGAATCACCAAACGGTATTCGTTAAAGATCATACACGTTTACGCACCTACTTCGGCACATCCCGATGAGGCGAGTACATCACTCACCTTCGATTTGCCGACGATACACTCTTTATGGCAAAATCACTGGAGGACCTAAGCACTATGCTCAATGACCTCAATAGTGTCTGCTAAAGGATAGATCTTAAGATGAATGGACAAAAAAAAGTCATGTGTAACGTCCATGTCATACCTATGCCGGTAGGTGTTGGGAACACTAAGCTCGAAGTTGTCGACGAGTATGTTTACCTGGGACAAATAGTCCGACTAGGTAAGTCCAACTTCGACCGAGAGGTCAATCGACGGATTCAACTCGAATGGGCAGCGTTCGTGAAATTACGACGGCACATCTTCTCGTCATGTATACCTCAAAACTTGAAAACGAGATTGTACAACTTATGAATCTGAAACGTGGTCCTTCACTGCTCAAGAGGAAGCTCAAGGTCACTCAGCAAGCTATGGAGAGGGCTATGCTCGGGGTTTCTATGCGTGACAAACTTAGAAACGTGATGAACTTAAAAACGAGAATATCCGCAGTAGAACTAGAGTAACCGATATAGCCCAACGGATTAGTAATCTGAAGTGGCAATGGGCTGGCCATATAGCTCGAAGAACCGATAACCAATGGGGAAAAAAGGTTTTCGAGTGGCAGCCTCGTACCGGCTCGTGACGACCTGGCAAGACATACAGGCAGTCGATGGATGCTGGTGGCTCAGGACCGTGCTTTATGCTATTCCTTGGGGGCAGCCTATGTTCAGCAGTGGAATTGTGAAGGGTTGTAATGATGATGATGGTTTATTTTTGGTAATTTAATAATTGATACTTCATAAAACAAATAAATACTTAAAACAAAAGTATATTTAAAAGTATGCTTTCTTACTCGAGCCCGAAATTAGAAGCACAAAATGCTTAAATCTGTGACCCGTGATTGACCGTTTTGGTGTTTTGAGCGGAATGTGAATGTATAAATGTGTGTGTTATGCGAATAGGCTATTTTCTACTTAATATACAAAATAAATGTCATAGTTGCTTCAACAGAGCTATAATATTACATGATTAAGGCGCCTTGCCTTAAATCTAAAATAGACTTTAGACATGATGTGTCAATCGTTTATTTCTAGTGACCCATCCATTGAGTTATTGATTCGTCAGATGAATCGAGTCATTCGATCGATAATTCAAATGGATCATTTCTGCTTTCAGTATTCTGTCATCTATAAGAACCGCTCGGTTTTGCTGATAGTCGCGAGAGCAGGTCAAAGTATATACGGTACTTGTAACAAAAATATTTTTTTTAAATTTTTGTTTGTCTGTCTGTCTGTTTGTTCCGGCTAATCTTGGAAATGCTTCACTGGCAGATAGCTGATGTTATAAGGAGTAACTTAGTTTCCTTTTTTTTTAAATATTAGGGTTCCGCACAAAAATATTAAAACCCCAAATTACTCTAGGGCGAAGTCGCGGGGAACAGCTAGTCAAATAATATAAAATGTAGTCAAGACTTTACCAAGACTTGTCTTCCTGCGAACTAATATTTTCATTCTCAGATCAGTTTAGTATTTGGTATACAGTTTTCATGTTCCTTACATTGACACTGTTTTTTACTTTGACATGCCACAATGAATATAATATACTCACCCCCAATATGATAACATTGATCTGATTGGAGTCGGTAGTGAGTGCCCACGGTGCTGCAGGTGGCCCAGCCTGACACTGTGACTCGCTGGCAGATGTCAAAGATCTGTCAACAAACAAAAACTTCAATTTCAATTTGCACTATATCTCAATGTTCATGCCGATAAATGTTATTTCAAGCTGCTTTCGTTTATATGTGAATACTAATATGTACGATTTCAATATGCAAATACTACCCAAACACTGGCCTCTATTTATAGAAGTACGCTGGACTGGCTATACCATACAAAATGCTTATGCCGATTTAAAGCGCCCTCATTGTTCGTACCAGTAACTAAAATTGACATAGTATGCCAAAATCTATTTTGAACTTTTAAATTAAAAAATGAAAGTATTTTTTATGTGGTTTGATTATGTTTGATTTTAGTTACATAATAAGCATTATTTTTAGTAATAGTGAGAATGTGCGTAATATATAAAACTCGTTACCAATAGGAAAGTGGTATAACATTCCACAAGTAAGTTAATTTACAGCTAATATTAAACAAATTAAAACTATTTGATAATATAGGTACTTTAAAATTTTTTACTAATCTTAATATCGTAATTACCAACATGTTTGGCTTTATATTACTGAGTTTTGATAAACAATAAAATTCCATAGGGTTGTCGAGTTCCTTGTCTATAATACTTATCGATGTTTTTTTCTACCCATATCTGTTAACAACCAAAGTCGTCGATAACATATAATTATCAAATGTTTAATAATTAACAGGTTTCTAACTGACTCTAAGCTAAAACTATGGCTAAAAATCATAAAAATTGTGAATTGGCGTCCGAAACAAAATGATTATATTTGTTCAAAACACTTCACAGACGACTATTTTATTATGAGAAACGCACCACTTTGAAAAAGTGCAGTATACCCACAATATTTTCTGGTAGTACTAGTACCTGTAAGTATAAAAGTATTAGATTATTATTTCGAATGTTTTTTTTATTTCTTTTCTCTTTACTTACCCTCCGACTCAAGGGCCAGAGCCAAGTGAAAAAAGATCGTCTGATGATGACTTTGTGTTTACAAGACGTAAACTTAATAAATCTGTTTAAATCAATGATTTCAAAAGAAAGGATACGCACATCTAAACATTTTACTTAAACCTTCTTCATACAAGCAAAAGTAGCACCATCAATCACAATACATACATTGGTCGACGACGTAACCAAGGCTACTAAACTTACTCATAGGTTGAAGTATGTAGTATCGTCATAAATAAAATAAATAATAAATAAAAATACACTTATTTCTTAATAATACTATTTCATAAATTAGTGGTGAAACAACCTCAGAGAGTAATCTAGTACCTCATGTTGGGGTCTTTCGCCCTCACCCTGGTGCTTAACATTTATACTGTACTATGCCACTATACTACGCGAAAATGCCATAATTTTATCTTCAGGTCGACCGACTTGTATTATTGGTAGATCCTTTTACTTTTTAATATTTACCCTATAATATCGATAATTTCTGTATGTTCGGCAGCACCAAATCAGGCAACGACAGGGTAGGCGCGGATTCCTCATTAGATATTTTACTATCCCGGTCGTTCTGACGGAGACGATATCGTGTTCATAGCAATATTTTTAAATTTGTTATGAACATGATAACGTAATGCGATTTTATTTCAGTTTAAAACAAAAACGCCGAAAAATGAATCATATAGTTACGCTGGATGCGTGACGCGAAAACCCCGGTGTATGGGAGAAAAACATGAAACTTCAAACGTGCTATAATTTTGGACAAATAAGTAAGTATAATTTTATTTTTCATGTACAATATTTCTGAGGGTCTGAATCCAACAATGGCGTAACCTTAAGTCGAATTGGCCCTAAACTGTCATTTTAGGACCAACGCATTAGTGCGATTTAGTTGCGCGGTTGACCCGGTCCTTACGCTAGTAATATATAGGTTTATAGGTAATGGTTTAAATATGACCAATTTATTATGTCAAGGGAATAAATTTATATTGGGACTGCAAAATTATTAATGCTCTTAGTGAGTTTGCGTGAGTTTAGGTAAAAAATAATTACTCCCTGGACAGGTTCCCGTCTTGTCGTCGCCGCCGTGGCGACACACATGACTGGTCCGAAGTGAAGAGCTGGCCCAAGATTGCCACTCTGAGTGGGCTGTGAGCCGAGGTGGAGTCGCAAGGGAAGAGGATTGTTCGTATCGCGATGCGCTACTCGACTATCCTCCACGACTTTGGTGCGGCTTTACCACTTGGTGTTTCAGAGTGCTGGTTTCCTCCTGGCTAATGACCTCCACATATCGAGCTCGGAGAGGCCGTTGTGTAGGTGGAGTAAGAGACAGTGAAGGGCAGTGCACCTCGTGTTCCTGGTGCGCCTTATCTGAGAAGGAAAAGGGGGAAGAGAAGTCCTCAACGAAGGAAGTATCCTCACTAGTGGGGCCTCGGATGTGTTTGAAAGTGTTTCCGTTGCCATGCCAATGTGTGGCGAAGGTTGAAACGCCATGGGGTTTTAGTAGGTGTGAGTCCGACATAATCCGTTCTTGCCCCCGCGAAGCGGGTGTGCGTAGCATTTGCTCATTTGAAACCCAGAACAAAATCCGTTCTGTAATTACGAATAAAAACTTAATAAACCAACGCAGCGTCGATCTTGGTTTTATATGAGGTACAAAACTTGCGTTTAAGGCCTAGGTATTAATTGATACATTTATTTATTGTATTGCTTTATAATAATATGATACATAAATAGAATGGACGTTACGGGTAGGCAGGGATATAGAATTTTTATCGATATATTTTGTCACACTGTGTTATCTCTATTATTAGTTCCGTGGACGTTCACTTCTGCTGTCAGCGCCAGAATGGCGAAAATCAAATTGCCTCATTATGTCACGGTGTTTAGCCAATCGATATATAGAGGTCAGTGTACTCAAATATATCTCACTTTATAGGGGGAAGCGTCACTCTACAGTGTGCTGCCATTATAAGGTAGCCACTTTTCTTATGACGTACGCGTGGCCCAGCAGTTGAAATACCTAGCTATTAAGCTACAGGTCCTAGCCCTGAATCACAACCGGATCCAACATTATACAAAAATACCAAAACAATTAAGTTGAGACATGTGAGTTCCACTGTAGTTTTACTGGCTAGTTGATAACTTCCGAAAGCTGCTTTTTCGAAAAACAGCCACAACAATATTATTATTTTTCCTAGTTTTTAGTACATTAAGATATACTTACCCAACCCTAGTATTTAGTATAACAGGCAGAGTAGCATCCAAACAATTTGAACCAGCGGGGCAGTGCTCACGCATTGGACAGTGGACGAAACCCAAGTGTTGAAACAGCATCAATTTTCTATCTTGCTCCATACGATCAAGCATCTTATACCTATAATGAAAAAAAAACATTTATTTATTTATTTTATTAGGGCACAGCCTTCCTTCTGTGATACATTATTCTTATATAATATAATATAATATGTAGGGACAATAATAGTCATCCACTTTTCACAATTTAGCACGAATCAGAAGTAAGAAAATAAAAAATAACAAAACCTATGGTCAAAAACAATACTTAATTTATATAGTTTGTCATGGCTGACCTAGGAAAATATTTATGCTTCAATAATATAATATATACATATATACACATATGCATTGTTACGGCCCGCAGCTGCCCCTGCAAAGCTCGTCTTGGCTGGGGCCCATAGCAGCTTCCTCGACGGGCAGACGCGGGTCGGGCCCAATGGCCATTTGGAAGAATGTCCTATCATACTAAACTATATGGGAGAATGCTAGGAAAATATAGTACGTACCTGTTTTAAGATCGCCCCAAGGCTCGGTCAGGCCGTAAGTGGGTGTAAGGTGCTTGGCAAGTAGTGTTTAGTGATGTGTATGTGTCTGAGACCTGGACAAGCTTAGGTGACCAGCAGCGGCCGAATTCCAGGCTGCCCCACAATGCTGCATCGCTCCAGCAGGCTCCACCGCTCCAGCGGAGCGGAAGCAAGAAATGATCCATCATTTCTTTCTTCATTGTCACTATTTCAGTCTATTAACTTCATTGTACATTTAACTAACTTAAACTCACCTAATTCCACATTCATCGTAGAATCGAACACGTGATACCCGACATAGTAACGGACAGTAGTTCAAAGTTCAACACTCAATGTCCCGGATTCACTTATCGCCAAATTATAAATAGTGAACTAACGCGATCTATTCATGAGTCACACGGTTCAGCGTTAAACACAACTAAGTTTCTTCACTCGACATCAAAACACCACGCCGCGATAAGAGTTTGAAAGAAGAAAAGAATTCAAAATACGCTTCGTTGACACGTAAAACTAACAAACCAGCCAGCACACAAAAAAGGGCACTTAACGCGACGGCACAATTATAATGATTTCCAGACAAGCAGCCGGGAGACGCTCTCGAACAAGGAATGCGCGGTTCGAATCCTAGACCGTATATCTACACGGCACGCGCGTGCGGAATTCCGCATCACCTGAGCAAGTTAAATATTGCAAAATTCACTTCAAACGCAATCACTAATCCGCGGCGGTTTTCACGAAACCCATTACGTAGCGAAGTAACACGCACAGTAAATCTAACCATCTGGCCCCTACAACGGTAACGTGAACTTCAGCCGCGATAACCGAGATACGCGGATTCACCGCATCGCGGCCAGCGAGCTCTCTTCGCCCACGCGTCGAGCCGCTGCAAGCCGCAGACGGCCGCCCCACCTGGCGCCGTTTACCTCACCTACATACCATCGGGTGACGCGCCAGCTCGAACGCGATTGGATGGCGTTCAAAATGACCAATTTTGGGCATAAACATGCATATATGTATACATACATCAACATAAAATATAATCATATTTTAATTAAATACTTACACATGTAGGTAAACATATATACAAAGATATAAATAAATAAATATACATACATAAAACATACCCACGTACACGCATTATATTAAATTCTTTTAGTGTCAATTAGCGAATTGGACATCTAAATTTAGATGCTACTATGGATTTAAAAAAATTACAAATGCTACCCAGCATAAACAATAAAGATTAATTGTCTACTCCTGTCAAAGCCTGTACTACCTACCTTTAGTTTAAATGAAATTTTTGAATGGATAAAGAATCAATATGAGAAAATTTACTGTTAAAATTTTTAACCATTCTGGTGAGGATACTATTTTTGCCATAATTAGTATGATGTAAAGGAACACTGAATGAAGGTGTATGTCTAGTCGTACGTTGGGGCCCTTTAAAGGAAATTTGTGAAAGCAGCGATAAAGTTTAATTTAGCTTGCGTGAGTAATTCATCTAATTAATAATAATTATGTAGGCTATTAAAACATCGGCAAGCAATCAACTAGTACTCACGGAGCAAATACAAAGAGGAGACGGTCTAAGCAACTGTGCACTGTGATTCTAACTAGGTCCTGACGTCATCACAGTGAGTATGGCTTTAACGTTAGCGTTAGTATTCTGGCAGCGTTCGTCCTGTGCGGTTATGTGTCGAAAATCGCAAATCGGTGTATTTTCGTAGTATTAAGAAGAAAAGGAGGAAGTGTTGGGTTTTACCGTGTAAAAACTACTCAGATAGACGCTGTTATGCTATGGATGGCATCACATCTCATTTGTAAGTAATTTTATACCTAATTTATTAAAATAGTTCTAGAAAAATCTCTGCGTCGGCTTTCAAATATATTAAATATATTCAACACTAGATGGCGACACTTTGTGCCATGGAAACTAAAAATATAAAGCCACGTAGAGCTAAATATTGGTAAAATAATCATACGAAGGTGCTGAAATTTGTTTTGCATTCAGTCCTAAAGAATTTTTAATCGGTAAAATATTATTTTTACAGTTTTTATAATCATTTTGTAAACAGGCCGCCATCTATCGTCAAGGTAGATAAACTACATTACAACATCGATATTGAACGATGCGAGTGTAAAACTACTTATTGGTAGATGGAAATAGTTAAGTGGGCGGGACTTAACACCCCCTCACCCCGCAAATTTTCACGCGTTGATACATAGTGAAATCTAATTACTACACCTCCTCTTTGTATTTGCTCCGTGGTAGTACTATTACATAATCTGTGGCACAGACTTCTTGTCTAGTAGGTCTCTTCACATAAGCACGATACTTAGTATTTAAAACAATTAGTTCAGTATCAGGGATATGGCTAAATATCCCTGATACCGAACTGGATATGTCATGGAGAAAGCCAGTTCTTCCAACTACCACTATCCCCATCAAAACATTTTAGTGATTTTAAATTTTGTATAGTACATGGTTTTATTCATAATATTGGTTATAATATTTTTGGAATAAAGATATGATAGCCAACATTGAAAATCTTTTGAGTGTAGTTAAGTAAGACTAAGCTTTATTTGTTTCATGGTCATTTTCAGAGTCATATTACCAATTAGCACAAATTTAATTTCTCTAAGAAAGATAGAAAAATAAAATACAAAGATCTTACCTAAAATCATCTTGCAGTACATCAGTAATTTCCTTGATGTCTTCTTGAGTTATTGTACCAGTTGGAGATATACTCTTGAAGTGATAGAACAAGTCCGCATGTTCTAGCAGGAGTTCCTAAAAACAGACATCTAAATAAAAACAATTTTGTCCTACTTTAAAATAGCGAAATCTAAACAAACATGAAATCCTTTGTTGCATAAATTTTAATAAAAGTCTCAAAAAAATTAAAGCATATAATTCGGCGTTTCTCTGTAAGACAGATCCGTAATTACATCTGCAGTAGTCACCATAGCCTGGGGTATCTAAAACTGATGAGGTAAAATGTCTTATCGGCGAGTGCAAGGTGGAACAACTCCAACTAGATGTATTATGCACATAACTCAGCACCATGCTTTTGTCTTCAGGTAAGACCTGTATTCGCAGTAGATCAGTAATGGAAAACAACGAGTTTCCACTGGAGAATTAATTTTTATTTTGTAACATTTGTTTGTAATTTAAATAAATTATAAGGAATAATAATAAATGTGAAACGAGATGTACTAGTCTTTGCTCAGGTAATAATTTTTCAGTCATTAACAGGACGTGTCGTAATGAACTTTGCGAAATCATCACTCCCTTGTCATATCAGTGTTTCGAAATAAGAGAAAAGTCTAATTTTGTCTATGGCATAGACTTAGTTTTGACTATGGCATAGAAAAATTAATAAAGCAATTTAATTTATAAAATGAAATAACAGTAGTGATGTTTAAAATAAATTAGGTTGTTAATTCTGAAGAAGTTAAATTAAGTAATAACTCCGAAGCTGTACTATAGAATTATTCTTGATTTAACTGCTGCTTCAGTTGATTAAAAAGCAGTGAAATTACAAAATCTGTGATTACAACCATATTATATTGCACACTGGACTGGTATGATTTTACAAACTATGAACATAAAAAACACAAGCATTTTTCGCTCACCTGCAAATTATGCTTAGCCCTTCGTTGTATCTGCCTCTGGTGTTGATCATAGACTCTTTGCTGTTGCTCCTCCGTTAAAGCCTCGTAGCACTCCCTGCCCATTAACAACACCCGCACCTCTGACAACTGCTTCCCCGGGGTTACATACCCGGTCTCTTCTAGTAAACGCTTGAATTGTTGACACCATCTGAATAAATCAAATTATAATTAACAAATAACATAATTAAATACTACATATTATTTTAATGTTTGAATATTATGGAACATAGATACAAATTTTTATAGAAAAGCTTATATGGCATAAGCATACAATGCCATACAAGCTTTTCTATAAGAGCTACCACTGCTTACAAAACAATATACTCAATGTACTACAAAGTGATTATCATTTTGATGTTAACAAAGTTAATGACTGGTGGTCCCTCATGTACGCTGATGGTGACCACCGTGGGGTTTTAGCCGGTAGGAGTCCGGCATAACCTTTTCTTTGGTCCCGCAGCGGAAAGTATCCATGAGGATTTCCCCATAAAAAAGGGCCTGTTAGAGGTTGAAATGCCGCCTACAATATTTGCATTTGACGCCTTGAAACTTTGCATTTTTCGATGTCGTAAATAGGCCTCTTGTATGTATGGCGAATTTTGAGTATTGCTTGGCAGATTAATGGACACAGTTATAGATTTTCATCATTATTACAGGCCATCCACGGATGAACATAGGTTTCCTCCATTGCCACAAAGCACGGTTCTGAGTGACCTGCGTCCATCGACTCCCTGCATGTTTCATCAGATCGTCACTCCATCTACTGAGGGTCAAGCAATACTGCGATTGCAAATACAAGGCTGCCATTCGAGATCCTTTCTTCTCCATCTGTTGTTGGTTCTTAGAGGCCGGCCCATTATCATTTCAGTCTACTGATCCACTGAGGTATGTCACTTACTCTTGTTATTCTGCAGATGTCCTCATTACGATTCAAAGCATATATACTCACTCATAATTCCTCTGCTCTTCTTGCGCTTCGTGAAGGAATGTCTTAAAAACGGCCGCGGCTTCATTCGTCTCTAATATCTCGTAAGGTATCTTTTGAGATTGTCCCAGGGTCTAAATAAAAAAAAAAGTTCGAACACTATTTACATGGTAGATGCATGCTGCAGCTATGTAATGGTTGTAGCACAAATGAGTCAGCTCGACCGAAGCAAGACCACGCACTTACAGAATACCAGCGTGAAATAGCAGCTTAATGCTGTTGTGTTTCGTATGGGGTGTGTAAATGTAGATGTCTATGGATCACAGCATCCACTTACTATCAGGTGGAATGAATGCTTGTTTGTCACCCTTATTCTCTTTATAAAAAAACATAAAGAGGATAAAACATAAAAAACGAGGTAACTTAATTCATCATCATCATCATTACAGCCTTTCACAAGTCCACTGCTGAACATAGGCCTACCCCAAGGAATGCCACAAAGCACGGTCCTGAGCCACCTGCATCCATCGACTTCCTGCATATCTTACCAGGTCGTCACTTCATCTAGTAGGGGGACACCCAACACTTCGCCTGCCGGTACGAGGCTGACACTCGAGAACCTTTCTTCCCCATCGGTTGTCGGTTCTTCGAGCTATATGGCCGGCCCAATGCCACTTCAGCTTGCTAATCCGTTGGGCTATGTCGGTCACTCTGGTTCTACCGCGGATATACTCATTTCTAAGTTTATCACGCAGAGAAACTCCGAGCATACCCCTCTCCATAGCTCGCTGAGCAACCTTGAGCTTCTTCATACAGCCAGCAGTGAAGGACAATGTCTCAGATCCGTAAGTCATCACTGGCAACACGCACTGGTTGTAAAATTTCGTTTTAAGGTTTTGAGGTATGTCTGACGAGAAGATGTGTCGTAATTTCCCAAACGCTGCCCAACCGAGTTGAATCCGTCGATTGACCTCTCGGTCGAAGTTGGACTTACCTAGTCGGACTATTTGTCCCAGGTAAACATACTCGTCAACAACTTCGAGCTTAGTGCTCCCAACAACTACCGGCATAGGTGTGACATGGACGTTAAACATGATCTTTGTTTTGTCCATGTTCATCTTAAGACCTATCTGTTGGGAAGCACTATTGAGGTCATTGAGCATAGTGTTTAGGTCCTCCAGCGATTCTGCCATAAGGACTATATCGTCGGCAAATCGAAGGTGAGTGATGTACTCGCCATTGATGTTGATACCGTATCCTTTCCAGTTCAGAAGCTTGAAAACATCTTCCAATGCAGCGGTAAAGAGTTTCGGGGATATGACGTCACCCTGTCTTACACCTCTCTGCAATTGGATAGGTTTCGTACTCTTGTTCTGTACTCGGATAGCCATCGTAGCCCTACTATACAAGCACTTCAGCACTTCGATATACCGACAGTCCACTTGGCACCGCTGAAGGGACTGCAGCACCGCCCAAATTTCGACGGAATCAAAGGCTTTCTCATAGTCCACATACGCCAGACATAGTGGCAAATTGTACTCCTCTGACTTTTGTACAATTTGCCGAAGGGTATGTATGTGGTCTATGGTGCTAAAGCCTTTTCGGAGACCGGCTTGTTCGGGAGGCTGGAAGTCGTCAAGTCTGCGCGCGAGACGATTCGTAATGACTCTCGAAAACAGCACGTAGACGCGGCTCAGAAGGGAAATCTATCTGTAGTTCTTCAAGAGAGCATTGTCGCCTTTCTTGAAGAACAAGACCACCGCACTTCTACTCCACGCCTCCGGTGTAATGCCACCATGGAGGACGGAATTAAAGAGCTTCTGAAGGACTTCAAGTACCGGTTTTCCACCCGCTTTCAGAAACTCCGCTGTAATTCCATCCTCGCCTGGGGCCTTGCCGTTTTTAAGGTGCTGGAGAGCCATTCTAATCTCGCTCAGACTGACGTCCGGGATATCATCGGAATAATGTCGGATAAGACTCGCTCTTGGATCGTTACTCACACTCGCGTGTTGCTCCGACGATGACGTGTACAGCTGCCCATAGAACCTCTCAATCTCACTCAAAATCTCAGGTGCCCCGGAAACGATGCTGCCACACTCTGTCTTCGCTTTGACAGTTGGCTCTTTCTGGCAGACAGATCTCTAGCAAAGACTTTGGAGCCTTGGTTCCGCTCGATCGCTTCTTCAATACGAGCTGTATTGAAGTTGCGTAAGTCCCGCCGCATGCATTTGGAGATCTGTCTGTTCAGTTGCCTGTATGCTGTCCAATCTGTTGAAGAATGTAGCTTCATCTCCCGTCTAACAGCCATGAGATTAAGAGTGTGATCGGAGTTTTTGTGTTCTTCTGCGGCGGGTCTTGCAGAACTTAGCTCCGACCGCATGGACAGTTTCCACGAGCTTGTCATCCATATCGTCCACTTCATTGCAGTCTTCTAGGCACTGAAAACGGTTTTGTAACTCGAGCTGAAAGGTTTCGGGACTTTGGATTAGAGCACGAGGAGGACGGAGCGTTGACTTCATTAGACGAAACCTCTCCAACTTAACGTTTAGGTTCAGTGTGCCTCTAACCATTCGGTGATCGCTGTCGGTTTTCACCCTCGCGATCACTGAGAGATCACTGAACAGTTGTCGTCTGGTCGTCATAATGAAGACAATCTCATTTTTTGTCGAACCGTCGGGGCTCGACCAGGTCTACTTCCTGTGGGAAGTCTGTCTGGAAAAAAGAGTTCATCATAAAGAGTCACTCTTTCTCCATGAAGTCGGCCAGGTGCTGGCCCCTTGGGTTCCGTTGCCCTATTCCAAATTTCCCTATTTTCAGCTCACCATTCTCTCTTGTGCCTAGTTTTGCACTGAAGTCTCCCATTAACACCGTATATTGGGTTTTGGAGGAATGCATGGCTCTAGAGATATCCTCATACATTTCCTCCACCCCCTCATCAGGGTGTGCCGAGGTTGATGCGTAAACCTGTATGACCTTCAGCGAATACCCTTTGGTGATTCTGAGTATAAGGTACGCAACACTCTCAATCTTTACAACGTTGTTAACGAGAGACTTGTGGACGATAAATCCGACACCTCCTTGGATTACCGTTTCCTCCCCCTCTCTTCGGGCTTCGCATAATCCTATAATATGCCAGCGTAACTTGTCTATCTCTTCTTCCAGCTCCACAATCTTCTCGTCAGTCCTCAGGGTGCGTGCGTTGTATGTTGCCAGGTCGAGTCGTCGTAGGTGGCAACCGAACCTCCACCGGAGATTCTTAGCACCCCCTGCCCCGCCGTTACCATGGTCGCCACCGTAGCCAGGAATAGCGGGGCCGCCGGGGACTGGGGGCCGTCTCTTAGTAACTTTATCCATTTGCCATAGTTGCCACGCTTGGCGAGCGGGTTGGCAACCGCAGTTTTTTTATTGTATTTTTGCTGTTATCAGGAAGATGCTGCTGCCCATCTCCTGCCTGTTTCCCTTTGTCGCCTTTTACGACACCCACGGGAAGATATGGGGTAGTGGATATTCTTAACCGCCACTACACGGCGAACTTAATTACTCCATATTATTTTATATGTCAAAAGGCTATGCTTAAAGCTTGATTTGCATAAACTGTAGGAATGTTGATGTTCCACAAGAACACTTTATACATAGTGTATATGTATAGACACAGGTGTGACGTGGGCAGGTACCTGATAGCGCACTCGGTCGCCAAGGCGCAGCGTGGCGTCAGTGGCGAGCGGGCTGTCCAGCTCGGAGCCCGAGCCCGAGCGCGAGTCGCGTGCGCGGCCCTCGCTGAAGTACACCGGGAAGTCGCGATGCGTGCGCAGTTGCCGCACCACCATCGCCCAGTCGCTGCGAACCACGGGACAACGCATTCTCAACACATACCCATAATATGTTACGGGCGGACTGACTAAAAATGCCGATGTTACGTTTTATCTTAGTTAAAATAAAACAACAAATAAGAATTTAAAAAAAAAATGAATTTTTTTATCAACTCAGGGTCGGAGGTCGGTTACTATGATGAGAAATGGATGTATTTTTCACACACACAGGCAATCGTTTATAATTACGTCGTCCATAATCGCGAAGCTTCGGTGAGATCCTTTATAATCAATCACAGATGTCGTAGATCGAATACTCGTAGTCGCTTTCCGGAATCAAGTTTACTTTTTTTTATAGGAGGGGGCAAACGAGCATGCGGCTCACCTGATGTTAAGTGACTACCGCCGCCCATGAACAACTGCAACACCAGGGGAATTGCAGATGCGTTGCCGGTCTTTTAAAAAGGATTAGGCTCTTTTCTTGATGGTCCCTAAATCGTATCGGTCCGGAAAAATCGCTATTGGTAATCGATTCCTCAGGGAAGTTGTGCAAGGAAGAAAACATCTTCTAAATCGCACAGTGGTGGACCGCCAATCATCCAAATGGTAGGGATGGTATCGCGAGCTTTGCCGCGATGTGCAATGGTGAAATTGAGCGGCTAGAATTAGTTCGAACAATTCCTCAGAGCACTCCCCGTGGTACATGCGATAAAAATTCCCAAAGAGATGCAACATCTCTACGCAGTGCCAGTGAGTCAAGCCGATCGGAAAGAACTCGGTCATCGACGATTCTAACCGCTCTGCGCTGGATGCGGTCAAGTGGAAGGAGCTGGCACTGGGCAGCCCCTGCCCAGAAATGGGAACAGTATTCCATGTGAGGCCGAACCTGCACCTTGTAAAGTTGCAAGCGGTGTGCCGACATGAAATACTATCCCGCTCTGCTGAGCACGCCAAGCTTTTTAGAGGCCAATTTGACCTTCTCTTCCAAGTGACCACAAAACTGCACGTCACTCGATATGTCGACGCCGATGATTCCGATACCTGCTGAGGCAACAAGAAGAGTGCCTTGAAACTGAGGAGACACGACAAAGGGGTTCTTTTTAGCGGTAAATGCGCAAACTTGTGTCTTCTGGGGATTGAACTGGACTAGATTTAGTCGCCCCAGATTTAGTCGAACAAAGTCTCGACTTCAGATTAGATATGAGCGCCGCGCCGGAGCGCCACCGTCGCCGTGAGTTCATGTCGACGCGTCGCCGCCGCGTGAAGAACGCGGCACGCCGTCGCAACGAGTCGCAACTTCCTCCCCGCTCACACGCGCGGCCCAACTGTATTAGTTCGCCTAGACGCCTCGCCACGCTCGTCGCTCGCTCAGTCGAGTCAAATATTTCACCGAGTGAACGTGTATTGTTGTGTGGTATTAACAACAAACTGGCCTTGCTCTTTCTGATCGAGACGCAGGTGTCATCTCCGGCTAATACTTCGTATCTCTCCTACCCGGGGTACAAATTGGAACACTCCTTGTGCCTCGAGCTCGAGTTTGCGTATACATCAGAGAAGACATCTGTTCTCGACGCCTCAGCAGTCTTGAAGGACCTGTATATCCTTTGGCTACGCGTAGACAGCGAGGACCATCCGCATGTGTACGGGTACCTCTATAGGTCCCATAGCGGTAATGCCGAAACAGACCGATTCATTGACCACGTCCAAATGGCTACAGATTCCTTGCTACAGCAGATCCCAACCGCAGAGATTGTGATCTTCGGCGATTGTAACGCCTACCACGCCGAATGGCTCGGTTAATGTTTAACCGATCATGCGGGTGGATCTGTTCATGATTTTGCCTTGGCATATGGTCTGACACAACTGGTAACTTCGCCTACGCGGATTCCAGATGTAGAAGATCATGCACCTTCCCTGTTGGACCTTCTGCTGACCTCTCATTCAGATAGATATCAGGTCTCCGTCCACTCCCCTCTTGGCTTCTCAGATAATTGTCTAGTCCGGAGTGTGGTGCCATTCACTCTAACATCGCGATTGCATTCTGCAGGCTGGCTAAAAAAGACGCCCTCTCAGACCCGTCATCACCTTGTTCTCCAAAATAATGGAATCCATTATAAACTGCCAGCTCATGCGGTATCTTGAGGACCACCAGCTAATTAGTGACCGCCAATACGGTTTTTGTCGGGGTCGGTCAGCTGGTGATCTTCTGGTCTACCTGACTCATAGATGGGCGGAGGCATTTGAGTTCAAGGGGAGGCATTGGCCGTTAGTTTGGACATTGCGAAGGCCTTTGATCGGGTTTGGCACAAAGCACTTCTTTCGAAGCTCCCTTCCTATGGGCTTCCCGAGAAATTGTGCAATTGAATCACCAGCTTTCTTGCAGATCGAAGCATCTCCTCAGTTTCAAGGCACCCCCTTGTTGCCTCAGCCAGTATCGGAATCCTCGGCGTCAACATATCGAGTGACGTGCAGTTTCGTGATCACTTGGAAGAGAAGGCCAAATTGGCCTCTAAAACGCTTTGCGTGCTCAGCAGAGCGGGACAGTATTTTATGCTGGCACGCCGCCTGCGACTTTACAAGGCGCAGGTTCAGCCTCACATGGAATACTGTTTCCATCACTGGGCTGGGGCTCCCCAGGGCTTTATTAAAAATATAAAGCTGTTTTTGGTACCAACAATATGGTTTTCTATAAGTTTTTTTAAGAAATCTCTTCCTGATAAAACAATATCTAAGACCTATGGCCAGCTACGCCACGCCGCCGCCGCCGAGAAAATTTTCAGGCTACGCCGCCGCCATGGAATTGGCCTTCGGCGCTCATATCTACTTCAGATACAAGTTTGTTCCGGTACTCGGCGACGTTTTCCCGAGAAATACTGGCACGGCCGGAGTATAAAGCAGTGCCGTCATCTGCATAGGAATGTATGTTATCGGTTTGCAACATATCATTGATATGCAGAAGAAACAGCGTTGGTGATAGCCACACAGCCTTGTGGAACACCAGCGTTAATAGGCTTGTAATCGGAGCACGAACCGTCTACTACGACCTTGATGCTCCGATCAGCCAGAAAACTGGTGATCCAATTGCACAATTTCTCGGGAAGCCCATAGGAAGGAAGCTTCGAAAGAAGCGCTTTGTGCCAGACCCGATCGAAGGCCTTCGCTATGTCCAAACTAACGGCCAATGTCTCCCCCCTTGGACTCGATCGCCTGCGCCCATCTATGTGTTAGGTAAACAAGAAGATCACCAGCTTAGCGGCCCCGACGGAAACCGTACTGGCAGTCACTAATCAGCTGGTGCTTCTCAAGATACTCCATGAGCTGGCAGTTAATAATGGACTCCATTATTTTCGAGAACAAGGAGGTGATGGCGATAGGACTGTAATTGGACGGATCAGAGCGGTTACCTTTTTTAGGGATCGGGTGCACGAAAGCTGTCTCCATGAATTCGGAACAACGTCTAGGGAGTAGGAGTACCGAAAAAGACGCGTTAGAACCGGTCCCAACTCTGGAGCTCACGTCCTCAGCACAATTGGCGGGATTCCGTCAGGCACTCGACTTGTGGACTTCCATGGAGAGGAGTGCTTAGCGTACTGAGCACTGTGTGAATCGCACATCAGGCATAGAGCACTCACACTACGGGATGGTCGTCGGTGTGCCCCTCGTCATCAAAGAGTCGAGTTGGATGCAAAAAGGGAGCCTAAATGGGCGGCTTTCTCTTTTGCGGCGTGGGCCAGTGAGTCATTCTCCCTGTGCGGAGATGGTAGTGATGGACATTCAGAAATTCCCTTGGACAGCCGAGAGACCAGAATGCACGGGTTCTCGAAGGAAGGCGAACTAATTCTCGCCAATTCTGCCTATGTGCTCTGACTTTGCCTTGGCAATAACTCTTTTGAAAGGACCTGGAGGCGAAGTTATACTTATTTTTAAGCATGCTGGTGTTTAAAGCCTCAGCCCAGGCCTGATAACACTCCTGCTTACTGCGTAATGCAGTCTTACAGGAGCGACCAAACCAAGGCTGAGATCTGCCACCGATGGGTACCACAGACTATGGAATAGATAGTTCCATTCCCTGTAGCACTATATTAGTGACAGAGTCAGCAACAGCGCTGGGATCATCCGGCGAGAAGCAAACCCGCCCCCATAGGTAGGATGCAATCTTATGTCTACACGCAAAAAGGTAACAGGCGTTTTGCGTGTAGACATAAGGTAGTGTTTTGCTTGTATCAATGGTTTGAGCGTTGTGTATTTTATGCCTACACATTTAATTAACTTGACACAGGCCATCTTCTGGAATTTTTCTTGCAACGAAATGCACCACGCAACTAGCTATCATAACAAAATATTTTTTTATTGTCATTCTCTCTTTATTACTTAGAATTATCTTACAGATTTGTACTTTCTGTAAAAATGTACGAAATTCCTTGTACTTGGCGACCGGACTATAGGTCATAAAAATACTTATTCCATGCGGGATTCGAACCCGCGGCTCTCAGTAATGTGCCAGAAGTGTTGTAAGGCAACTATGAGAAATTGCAAAGAAATCTTACAGCTACAGATAGATGGCCGTATTAATTATCTAGTTTACATAAACACAAACACTCCTGTCACCTAGAGGGGTAGGCTAGTACTACGGACTGCCATTTGGCACGAGCCTGACACACCTATCCTCGCCTCCTTTACATCCATATTATATAGTCTGTTCGCTTAGATACGTTCACCTGTGTTGCGCCGCCTCGGCAAGTGCCGCATCTTGTCAAAGGCACCGCCGCCCACATCAAATGTTGCCGCGTACGGCGGACACCCGCAGGAAAATTCGCATTTTAAAAAACGCCGTAGTGAAAGATTGTTTTTTGACTCTGCTACGATGTACAGAAAATGTTTTTTCGTCTTTGGGAGGACAATGAAGTGCATCAAGATGAAATTTACTTTCGTTTATGTTGACCTACCTACTCATATTTTTATCGACACTATTTTTCTTAGTGAACAGACTATACCTACGCAAACTTGCTCGTCGGTTAAGGTACTCATAATTTGGCCCATTTTCAATATATCGCCAATTTGGTCGATAATCTTTCGTCTAGGGCGTCCCTTTCCGACTGCCATATAGATTTGCTTTGTCACTCTTTCCTCGTTCATTCTTTCTACATCACCAATCCACTGTAGCATTCCTTTCTTAATCCTGGTCACAACATCATAATCACCCAGTTTACGTAGAACGTAAAATACCAGTAACGGACAGTAGCGTCAATTCACCTGCCAAGCGCGACGATTAAGACAAATCTTCCCTACAATGGGAGAACACCATGTCCAGCAGAGGATTTTTACGGACCAATAAAGAAGAAAGAAAGAAATGGAAATGAAGGTGAACACCGCTCGATGACCCGAAAGTATGGTTTATTAAGTCATAAACGTGTGGTTTGCTAAACGGCAGGGCACCTTTTCTATCGGAGTAAGAGTCCGTCTGGGTCGATACATATATTGTATTGTGAGTTCCTAGACTAACGAAGCTTGGCAGCGCAGCCAAATTTCAACGGTCTAGTGACTTAAAGTAAACTTTAACAAATTTTTATCTTACCTCTCCTGTAAATCTTCAGTTGGCAGGTTCATACGAGAGAGTGCTTGAGGCAACTTCGCGAGCTGCTTACGAAGCTTCTTTGCTGAACGCTCTTCTTTCAGACGTCGGATATGACGACGGTACACAACCTGGAATAAAATAATAGAAGATTTATTTTACAGAGTAGCGAGTGACAGAAAAGACTAGTAGCTCTACGCAGGACCGCTTGACTTCCTAATGTAAATGCAATTTGATTCTTAATTATTTATCAATAACTTCCAATGAAAGATACACAATATAAATTAATTAGTTAAAACTAGTTTAATTTTTTACTACTAGTTTTTAATTAGTTTAATTTAATTAAAACTAGCGTGTTCCTTCTATATAATTATAGTACACCACAACATTAACTATGTAAAAACAGAAATAATATAAATGTGCTAACATATTATGCTACATAAAATACCTACATTTTAAATAGATAAAATTCACAAAAACCTCAATAAATGAAGTACATAAGAAAAAGAAACAAATCATTAGAAGCAAAAAAAATACAAAATAAATAAGTAGATACTAGCTGGTCCGGAAGACGTTGTTTGCCCTTCCGGTAGATGACACTATGAGTTTTACTCTAAATTATCTAAATTATAATCTAAATTTTAACAGTGGTAGAGCCACGCGGCAGCTTTTGCTGTCACACGGATGGGCCGGCTCGAACCGGGGTAGTACCACGATCTCACAGAAAACCAGCGTGAAGTAGAGGTTTACCTCTGCGTTTCGCTTGGTGAGTGCAGGTGGCCGGAGGCCCTTTTTACTGGAAATGAGGCATTCCATCTTAGTCCTCACGGGTAACGTTGTTTTGCCCTTCCGGTAGATGACACTATGAGTTTTACTCTAAATTATCTAAATTATAATCTAAATTTTAACAGTGGTAGAGCCACGCGGCAGCTTTTGCTGTCGCACGGATGGGCCGGCTCGAACCGGGGTAGTACCACGACCTCACAGAAAACCAGCGTGAAGTAGAGGTTTACCTCTGCGTTTCGCTTGGTGAGTGCAGGTGGCCGGAGGCCCTTTTTACTGGAAATGAGGCATTCCATCTTAGTCCTCACGGGTGACAACGCATCTACATTTTGATTTGTAACAGAGGATAGATGTAGATGTCTATGGGCCGCAGCAATCACTTACCATCAGGTGGACTGTATGCTCGTTTGTCACCCTTATCATATAAAAAAAAATTCATTCCAGAATTTATAGTGTTTATACATTTATTAGTAAGTCGACCACTACTATCAGGTACAGATTTTGTGGTGAAATATTTGACAGATTTGGCAGGGAAGTTAATTTGTTAGAAAAATATTCTTTCTAAAATATTAGAATTTAGATTATATAGCTTTATATATAGGTTTAGATTATATATTATAGAAATTAGATTATAAATTTATGTAACTAATTTCATTGGTTAACAAATAACTTCACCTCAGTTCTAACTACTCATTATAAATACTCCTAATAACTCATTGGATCACAATCGGTCAAGTTGTTCAGAAGTTACGTGATCACTAAAAGACGCAAAAACGATTATATATACAGGGTTATTTTGCAATTACCAGGCAAATTTGCAGAGAAGGTTCAGAATAAGTAATATAGGCAAAGGTGAAGAAAAATTAATTTTAAAAAATCTCAAATTTTCTGTCATTTTCATCATATAAATTTAAAATTCGTGGTAATGCATTATTTTAACTGATTTTACCTCGGACGTATACATTCCTAAACCCTTACGCTCGGTACATTGTACATTGTGTTCCCGCGCCCTTCTACCGTTACACCGTAATGGTATAAGAGCTAGCTACGAAAACGTGAACTGATAAGTTGTAGTAACGAATTATATATATAATCTCTCCTTGGTAGCTTATAAGTACAGAGTGAGGTCCGTCAGAACTCTCTCCCGGGGCGGAAGGCGTGGGTAGGCAGTCAACATCGAAAAATTTCAATAAGAAAAAAATGATTAGGTGCAGTTCTGAAATTTGGTAGAGTTATAGTTTTTAACTGTAGGAATCTAGGAAAATTATTGTCAGAAGTCTAGGTCGGGGCTTAAAGACTATCAGAAGTCGACAAAGTTGTAAAGAAATTGTTTAAAGAGCAATGGCAGAAAAATAGTTCACAAAAATTATAGCGTCTTGAAATAAGTTATATATAAAATGAGTTTTATTATTATTCTATGATTTTTGCAAATAAAAATGTATTTTAATTAAAGCCACCGAAAAGAACAATCATTTTTGGGAATATCAAATGACTTAAATCATTTTACTCTATTCAAATGTTGCCATTTAGTATATTCATACTATTTTCGTATACACTTTGTGAGACTACCAACACAACACACAAAATATTTTTATATTAAGTTATTATTAGTAATAACTGTACTATCAGTAATAATAAAAATAAAAGTGATATGGCTGAGAATAAGTCTCTTACAAAGAATTTCCTACAATAATACATTATCTCAATCACAGTACTATGTAACAATTCCATTTAATGTTATGCCGACACTAGCTAAAATAAAATGTCTCTGTTTTTTTTACTGGCTTTACGGCTCTGGGTTCTAGCCCTTTTGAGAATGTCACTATGATACAAAATCCCTGGAGCCATGCCAGAAATATACATTTATAGTATGCAAATATATAATAGAGATACAATAATCTAAAAACTCTCAATTATGTATTATGTATTAAGCTAACATCAAACAACCACAGGAAGCATGACTTTTCCAAGTGACATAGGACATAACCTAAAAAGGTTCAAAAGTAAATATCTTTTTTTGAGGCCTTCTCAGTACAAAATTCTTTGACAGAGTTATTGCTTTTGTCATTGCATGTTTGTTGAAATGTGTAAATAATAAAAACAATAAATAGCCAAAACTGCACCTTGTTATTTAATTTTTAACTAGATTCGAAACGTTCCTTTTCATCGCGATAACTGCTTCAGCAACTTTTGTCCATATCACCAATTTTTCTGTACTTAGCCATTATTTAGCCTCCTGACAATATATGTACAGGTTCGGTAAGCTATAAATAATATAAAAATGTAATTGTCAGAACTGCACCTTGTTATTTTAATTCAAAACTAGATTCGAAACGTTGCTTCCGGTCGCGATAGCCGCTTCAGCAACTTCTGACTATATCATCAATTTTTATGTACTTAGCCATTATTAGGACTTCTGACAATTTATATACAGGTTCGATAAGCAACAAATAATATAAAAATGCATTTGTCAGAACTGCACCTTGTGGTTTAAATTTAAACAATTTCTTTACAACTTTGTCGACTTCTAACAGTCTTTAAGCCCCGACCTAGACTTCTGACAATAATTTTCCTAGATTCCTACAGTTAAAAACTATAACTCTACCAAATTTCAGAACTGCACCTAATCATTTTTTTCTTATTGAAAATTTACGACTTGGACCGCCCACCCACGCCTTCCGCCCCGGGAGAGAGTTCTGACGGGCCTTGCTCTGTACTTATAAGCTACCAAGGAGAGGTTATATATATAATTCGTTACTACACCTTATCAGTTCACGTTTTCGTAGCCAGCTCTCAGACTATAAGTACCTATGTCTGCTAACCCGGCCGACAGGTGCCAGTGTTGACCGTGACCTCATTACGTACGCTTCGTTGTCAATGACATAACGAAAATATTCGAACCGCGGAAACTTTAAGTTATGAAATGGTGCAATATTACATTTTAAGCAATGAAAGTTTATGTGGTACATACAAAAATACTAAAGTGAGACTTTACCGGGGTGAGAAATTAGCGTGTGTCGTAATTAACCTACCAATCGAAGAAAAATTTACAGATAATCAAACTATTCAAGTGCAGTGAGCGATAACTGAAATAGTCCATCTGCAAACTCGCCGGAACTTTTACCGTTCGTCTTTTATCTGTGTATAAAAAGTCGTGTTTACGTCAAAGAGGTCCAAAGTTATAAAGACCGCCACAGTAAAATTATTGCTGCGTTCACGGAAGTTAAAAGTTCTCAAGAACATGTAATAAGTGTAAAAAATATTTTAACATAACTAGCTCGCTTAATGGGTCTTTAAACATAGACATTCATAAAGACCCGTTGACCGAGTGGCTAGCAGTGACCCGTTGTCCCGTGACCGTCCGGCAATCTTCAGAAGCCGGCTGCGCGGAAGCAAGTTCGGTTTTCCTCGTCTCGCCACCTCGTCAATCGATAATATCCTCAGACGCCGAATTTACGTTATTCACATCCCCACAAGAAAAACGGATTCCAGTTTGAGGTATCAATATAAGATATTGTGAATACATGCGTAATTTAATTGTAAATAGTTTATTCCAAATTTTTAATACGCTATAATAAAGACAGTCGTCGGTTACGTCGTTGATAAGCAAAAATATATTTTTAATTTTATTTATTATGACGATCCTAAGTCCGTCAAGTGTAATAGGAAAATTGGAATCATAATTTGCGTTATGTAGTTATTATCTTAAGCATAAGTAGTAAGCGTGCCACGAAGAAAGTAAACAGTAGGCAAAAAGTGGAGAAACGAAAACGTGAATTGAATCAGTAAAAGTTGCTGCCCATAAATTACATTCAATTTGCGATAATTTCAAATAAAAGAAGATGCCTTATTTACTCATATTTTCAAAAAAAATGTAATATCGGTACATAATAATTTATTTATTTGAACTTCAATGTAAAATTTGGCTAATCTTTGAAAAATAACCCTGTGTGTGTATAAAGATTGTTTAAACAACTCGCTTTGTATTATAGTTGGAAGGCTATCACTGATACTTGGTCTTCATGAAGAAAAAGATAACGTCGAGTATTTTAATAATCAGTATATAAGTTGCAATTGTGTAATATTATACTAAATAAGTTGTCGTACAATTTTGTCGAGTTTCATTTATCAGTATCGATAATAACTAATAAGCCAATGACTTGTTTTATCTTACTTTAAGTTACAAAATAATATCACAATAAAAAAACAATGCAGTTGCGTCTTTTCCACCTTATTATGTGCAATAACAAAATATGATCGAAATTTAGCCCTTATTCTAAAGTCAGACAGTGTTTGTTTTAATAAAAATATACTTTCGGTGCTCAAAGCCTAAACAAAGTGGAATATATTCCATATGAAAATAAATCCACTCACCTGGGTTCCATCATTTCCAAACTGCTGAACAAACTTGATCCATTCTGGAAAGTGGCTTAATCTTTTGCTAGCTGCTGACCACATCTCCCTGTTCACGAGAAAAAATAAAAATTGTAATTACTCAATCAAGGATTATTAAAACTTTTTCTCTAAAGTGGCAATACCAGAGTCACTCAAAGTTAGTAAAAGGCATTAGAAAATGCCAAAAAGACCTCATGGCCTCCAATAGTTGTCAGTATAACCATCCCGGTCCAATGAAGGCAGCGTCAAAGGCGCAAGGAGTCTAGATACGATCGCCAATTACTTGCCAAGCGGCAAGACCGAGGACCAGTTTACAACAATTAACAATTCTATAGAATGAACCATTTATAATTAGGAATTCAGTGTACTAAATATAGCTAGAACTTAAAGATACTTATAAATATGTAATAATAATATTGGTGCCATTCTATTTTTAAACTACTTTTTTTTATATGATTTATAGAATGCATCATCCAATTTCATACCGTGGGTGTCGTAAGGGACAAGATCTCGTGATTTCAGACATTTAAACTATAAAAATGTTTAAATCTAAAATAATATGGCTTTAGGTAAGAGGTAAAAAAGAACAGTGCATACTTATGATCCTGAACATGTATTCGAATCAATTGCGTAAAAGCTTCAGTTACGAAGTCTAACGTCTCTCTTCTTATTCTCAAAGCTTCAGCATAGTTCGCCACCTGAAAAATTAAATATACGTATATAAATCAAGTTCCTTCTAATAAATACTAAATTAATATAGCACTTTGTTGGATAAGATGGTCAATATTTACCTTTATTCTCGCCTTGGTCTTATCAATCATCTGAGCCAGCAAGAAGAAAGCCTGGTCAACGTTTACATTATCATGACTGGACGTTTCCACTATGGGTATGCTGCCTTTGAACTCTTTCCTCTGCACCAATCTTTCAGCTTCTCTCACGCCTTGCTCACAGCTTTCGTCATTCTTAGAGGTAACGAGAACTACAGGCTTTTTGAGCTTGAGAATGTTTTGTAGGATTGCCGCTGTAATTTCGTTCTAAAGCAAAAACATTAAGTATTTTAAACATAGTAAATAAGACGCATTATGAAGATAAAGCAAACCATTTGGCTTGAAGGAGTGGAGATCAACCGAGCGTCTAATAGTCTGATGATGGAATGGAGAGGGAGGCATTAAGTCATGCAATTCCTGCACTCTCCGAAATGTATAAGTACCATAAATAACCCAAAAGCTGACTACTTTGAGCCTGTGCTCGAGACTGGTAAAATTGGTTTTAACCATATTGATGTCACTTACAAGTCTCTTAGCACGCCTTTCAATTGATTCCAAAGCCACTACGTGGCATTTTGCAGCACCAGCCCATATATCGCAACAATACAACCATGCACGACGGGACTTGCACTTTATATAGTGTAAGCAATCGCTACGGCGTGAAGTATTGCCGCACCTTTGCAAGCACCCTTAACCTCCTTACACCTGCTTTGGCCCTGGACTTAATAAGCCGCCCAAAGTTTAGTTTCGAAGAAACCTCAACACCCAGTAACTGAAGGCGGTCGGTGAATTCCAATGACACATTTAGGAAAAAGGGGGCAAGGTGAGCTGATTCCTTTTCGCGGTGAAGAGACACGCATATGTTTTAGAGGCATTGATGAAGAGACACACAGATGTTTTCATCATTACAGCCCTTCACAAGTCCACTGCTGAACATAGGCCTCCCCCAAGGTATGCCACAAAGCACGGTCCTGAGCCACCTGCATCCATCGACTTCCTGCATATCTTACCAGGTCGTCACTCCATCTAGTGGGGGGACGCCCAACACTTCGTCCACCGGTACGAGGCCGCCACTCGAGAACCTTTTTTCCCATCGGCTGTCGGTTCTTCGAGCTATATGGCCGGCCCATTGCCACTTCAGCTTACTAATCCGTTGGACTATGTCGGTCACTCTGGTTCTACTGCGGATATCCTCATTTCTAAGTTTATCACGCAGAGAAACTCCAAGCATAGCCCTCTCTATAGCTCGCTGAGCGACCTTGAGCTTCCTCATCCAGCCAGCAGTGAAGGACCACGTCTCAGTACCATAGGTCATCACTGGCAACACACACTGGTTGTACAGTCTTGTTTTCAAGTTTTGAGGTATACCTGACACATGAAGTGTGGGTAACGATCCAAAAGCGAGTTATCCGACACTATTCCGATGATATCCCGGACGTCAGTCTGAGCGAATTAGAATGGCTCTCCAGCACCTTAAAAACGGCAAGGCTCCAGGCGAGGATGGAATTACAGCGGAGCTTCTGAAAGCGGGTGGAAAACCGGTACTTGAAGTCCTTCAGAAGCTCTTTAATTCCGTCCTCCATGGTGGCACTACACCGGAGGCGTGGAGTAGAAGTGCGGTGGTCTTGTTCTTCAAGAAAGATGACAACGCTCTCTTGAATAACTACAGACCGATTTCCCTTCTGAGCCGCGTTTACGTGCTGTTTTCGAGAGTCATTACGAATCGTCTCGCGCGCAGACTTGACGACTTCCAGCCTCCCGAACAAGCCGGTTTCCGAAAAGGCTTTAGCACCATAGACCACACACATACCCTTCGGCAAATTGTACAGAAGTCCGAGGAGTACAATTTGCCACTATGTCTGGCGTATGTGGACTATGAGAAAGCCTTTGATTCCGTCGAAATTTGGGCGGTGCTGCAGTCCCTTCAGCGATGCCAAGTTGACTGTCGGTATATCGAAGTGCTGAAGTGCTTGTACAGTAGGGCTACGATGGCTATCCGAGTACAGAACCAGAGTACGAAACCTATCCGATTGCAGAGAGGTGTAAGACAGGGTGACATTATATCCCCGAAACTCTTCACCCCTGCATTGGGAGACGTTTTCAAGCTTCTGAACTGGAAAGGATACGGTATTAACATCAATGGCGAGTACATCACTCACCTTCGATTCGCCGACGATATAGTCCTTATGGCAGAATCGCTGGAGGACCTAAGCACTATGCTCAATGACCTCAATAGTGTTTCCCAACGAATAGGTCTTAAGATGAACATGGACAAAACAAAGATCATGTTTAATGTCCATGTCACACCTATGCCGGTAGTTGTTGGGAGCACTAAGCTCGAAGTAACAGATGTTTTAGAGGCATTGAATCTCACGAGATTGGCAGCTTCATATTCGGACTGCCTGCAGTGAAAGATTCATAAGCTCCACTATAGCAGTTCTTTCGGACTAAATTTGATCCCGACTGGTCCGAGCACTCGGCTTACATCTCTTTACAAATGTACTGCCATCTGCGTCATAAATACTGGTCATAAGCAGGTATCAGGAAGAGAGTTGCGAAGAGAACGGACGCCTGAGGAACTCTAACATTAGTTGTCAACGGCTCGGAGAGCAGCCTTCTACGACTTTAGAGAGATATAGCTTAATTCTATTCCATATTCTCATCATATTACTAGAATCTCAAATTATATTCTCTTACGTCCTACAAAGCACTTAAACTGGATCTGAAACAAATTTTATATTACGTCCTGAGTTGACTTTGCCAGAGTCTGGCATTACCTTTATTAGAAATGGCCGACATTAATTAGATTTCTTTATATCTTTTATTTCGACAAAGTATGCAAGTAAAGAATAAAGAAATACCTGTTTCTCCCACGTCCTCCCTGGAACCAGACTGACATCATAGACGCACATAAAGCCATCCACCGTCATTTTCCCGTCCGGCATCAATCTTTGTTCGTACTCCTTCTCGATGCCCAGCTGGTTCTTGCATACGTACATTAGTTTCTCTGCCGACTGTATCTTCGTTGCTACGCATCGTTTTACGTATGGCTCTGTTTTGCCAACTGTACAGAAATTATAATAATGTGAAACAGTAAGAAAATTCTAGGATTTTCGGTTACAGTAGTGTATGAACGATGCATTTGTGTTACTTTAAGATTTTAATACTTGAAGAGAAGATCATACTACTACAATACATAAGTCGTCGAATGAAAAATTGTATACCCATTCATTCATTTATAATCGATACAATCGTTTACAGCGTCTATTTGTAATTTGCAGAAACTATTCTAAACTTTATGTACGCCTTTTACAAAACCTTTATTAGTTCTATTATTCATCACGTAACCATAAAAATGGCGATCAGTAGCAATAATGAATTAAAAAAGTACAATAACAATTAAATTTATGTAGTACGCAATTTAACAAATCTAAACATACTTTAGCATTCACTCCATGGAGCTCTAATAAGGATATAATCATATTAGAATAACTAAATGTTTACAAGTAACATGGTCACCCTAATACTTTTAACCATTGACACATTTTGCAAAATTGTGATTGTTTATAAATTGACGACACTGTTTGCAAAGTTTGTAAATTTTGCCAATTGCATATAACGACTCAACGCCGACTGTACTCAAAGTAAAAATGTTTTCAGTAAGAAATTTATTTAAAAAGACAAATCGTATTCTCATCATAAAGACAAAAGATTTAAGCTTTTTGCGTTAAATTTCTTGTCATTCTTAATCTAATCGATTTGGGATTTGAGTCGCCTTTCAATTGTGTTCGCTTCCTAAATCTGCGGCGGGTCCCACCGGCCTAAGCCTAAATCCGCCGTTGTCTATACCAACAATTATATTGTCCCTTTCTTCGACCTATAATTGATGTGAAACAACCAGTATTTAAATTTAACGTGCCACATATAAAAAAAATAATGCAACATCATTTAAAATAATAAGAAAAACATTTCCTTTCAATATTTATTATATGACCCATTTATTAATTTCTCTTTGTTTCGAGGATAAAAAAGAGATTGCAAAATATTGATATACCCTATTGGAATTACCTACCTTTAAACGGTTGAAAGCAGGCATCATCGACAAACTCTGTCTGCTCTATCACCTCGAAGCGATACTCTTGGTCGTCATTCTCTTTCTGTACGCTGCCCCAGTACAAAAAGTGGTCGTTGTTCACCACTCGACCGCTGAAGTCCGACTGTAGTAGAAATAATGATACAAGGTATAGAAAAGTGATTTTTTTTTAAATAACTAGTACCTACTATGAACTACCGCCATCAGAGGAAATTGCATTGCATTGCATTGAATTGCATATTGCACTCGTAAAGAATGGATAAGGTGGATGACGACAGTATTTTGTGTAAGGCTAATAAATGGCTTGTATATGTGGAGGAGGTCGCGTAGACGCGTCTTGTATACTGGCGCGCTTTGTTAGAAAGAATAGGGGGAGGAGTGTTCTCTCCCGTGGAGCCACCACTCCCAGGGGACGCCTGCAAGTGGTATGGCTGTATGCGAAATCATTCCCGTGGGCCTGTTGATATGCGGGTGGAACATCACCACATACACCGTTTTCGCTCCCGCTAGTCAGATATATGTAGACAATTCCCTATGAAAAAAAGGGCAGGACAAAGAAATTATGGGAGTCATTAGAAGCTCGAGGACCCGGGATCGCGTATCCGCATACCAAACGTCAACAGCAGGTGATGTGATGTATACCTACTGATAAGAAGCTCTTTTATAATTTACTTTTATATTATGTTAAAGTAAATTAGTAAAGTTACATGTGACCTACTACTGGGCATAGGCCTACCGCACACAAAAACTCCGATGAATCAAACTTGGGTCGTTCGATTATAATGTAATTTGCGGCAAGCGGGAGCCACCTATTGGTAAAATTAAAACACTAATTTTAAATGTTAACGAATAAAAACTAATTTTAAATGTTATTTTGTACGCAAACTTTTTTTTTATTTATAAGCGAACTAAATTAGGTCGGGGAGCATTATCTTAAATGTCATTTGAACTTAAGCAACCAGAGTTTGATCCCTGGTACCGACATATTGTACAGCCTATTTCAAACATGTTTATGTCTGAAACAGATTAATACAAATAATTTGCCTAAAATCCAACTCACAATGATAATGCCAATTTTTCAATGTCAATCATAATAAATAATTAAAATCGAATTTTAAGAAATTGTAAAACGTAATATTATAATAACATAAAAGAAATTAACATCATGATCTTTCTTTCTTTTTAAAAATATGCCAAAGTTCGCAAGTATACATAAACCATCATCATCGTCGTCCTGAGCCATCCTGTAGCTGTAAAATAGCCGCAGTGCGAAGGACCACGCTCGCAATATTACTGCCGAGTTTCGTATTGTTACGAACTTGGGGTTCGAGACAATTAAAAACTGCCGATTGAATTACCAAAATTAACACTTTAATTACACAACACTAATTACAATCTAAAATCACACTAATAATAAAACACAGTTCGCCGTTATTTCGCTTCGAAGTATTCTCTTGTATCGCCAATTCAATACTGCCCCGGTCGTGGTCTATACCGGTCTTATATAGGGCCTCAGATAGTTTCCAGAACCTTCTACTGTAGCGACATCTAGAATGTTCGAGTACATATCGGTCCCGAAATTTCTGGAAGGATCTCGACTCTCCTAGTTCTGCTACTCGACACTAGAGGGCGCTAGTGTGACTAGTGTTGCCATGTACAAGACATTAATAGTGGCGCGCAATACTTTCATTTACTCGACACTAGGGGGCGCTAGTGTAACTAGTGTTGCCATGTACAAGACATTAATAGTGGCGCGTAACACTGCCCCCTCCTAAGACATGCTCGTCCCGAGCATTATTGGCCCCATAATAACGCGCCAGTCGATCCACATGGACAATCTTAGGAGTACCTCTGGCACCTTTCTGTATCCGGTAGGTTACATCATTGATCCTTGTCACAATCCGGTACGGTCCGTCCCATTTAGCTTGAAGCTTAGGAGATTTCCCTTTGCTGCGAACTGGATTGTGTAACCACACTAGTGAACCTTCATCAAAGCCCGTGTTGTTCATTTTGCGGTCATACCGTGTTTTCATCTTCTCAGACGTTTGCTGGCCCGTCTGTCTGACGTGCTCATAAATGTCATTCATTTTGTTCCGCAAGTCATTTGCATAATCGGTTATACTGCGTGGGGCATCAGGTGGTATTCCGGTGATCAGGTCTGCAGGCAGCCGCAATTCTCTCCCAAAGTTTGCGAAAGCTGGTGTCACTGATGTACTTTCGTGAACAGCGCTTCGATATGACAACAAAAACGGTTGTATGTGCCTGTCCCAGTCTCGTTGCCGTTTTTCCACAACTTTTGCTAGGTATCTCTCCAATGTCTGATTAAATCTTTCTACCATTCCATCAGATTGTGGGTGGTAAGAAGTTGTTCGTGTTTTCTGAGTACCCATAACTCGGCAAGTTTCCTGGAATATTTGAGACTCAAAATTCCTTCCTTGATCGCTGTGAATCTCTAAAGGTACTCCAAAACGACAGAAGACTTCATGAACTAGTTTATCTGCAACTGTTGAAGCTTCTTGATTTGGAATGGCGAAGACTTCTGGCCACTTAGTGAAGTAATCCATCACTACCATGAAATACTTGTTACCACTTTCAGTTTCTGGAAATGGCCCCGCAACGTCAATGGCTATCCTCTCCCATGGTGCACCAACATTGTACAATTTCAATGCGCCTCTACTACGAATTTGAGGTCCCTTTACAGCCGCACAACTTGTACATTTGCGGCACCAGTCCTCGACATCGTCACGACAGTGGACCCAGTAAAACCGTTCTCGGATCTTCAGGAGAGTTCGTTTAACTCCCAGGTGGCCTCCTGAACAACCACTATGGTATAGCTGTAGAATATCCGGCACTTTAGCCTTAGGGACAACCATTTGCAAATGACACCTGTCTCCCCGACCATTTTCCCATTTACGGCACAGGACTCCATCCTGAATCAGCAAGCTGTCCCATTGGGCCCAATAGCTTTTCGTGGTCGAACTCATTGCTGAGACGTCGCTCCACTTGGGCTTAGGAGCACTGGCCTTCATCCATTCCAGAATCGGCTTAATGTCCGAATCTTCCTGCTGTGCATGTTGTAGGCTGTCCTTCCACTCATTGCTGAGCTGGTCTGTCCTGAGCATTCTCACAGATACCACTTCCTTACCCTCTTGCCTAGTACAATGCTTGCAATCTTCAGGGCAAGGTCTTCTTGACAATGCATCTGCATTGCCATGAGATTTCCCGCTGCGATGTTCGATCACAAAGTCGTATTCCTGCAGTAGTTCTATCCATCTCGCAACTTGTCCTTCCGGATTTTTGAACTGCAATAGCCATTTCAGTGCAGCATGGTCAGTTCGTAAGTGGAATTTCCGCCCTAGAAGATATTTGCTAAAATGCTGCAAGGACTTTACCACAGCAAGCAATTCCCGTCTTGTGACACAATAGTTCCTTTCCGGCTTTGACAACGACTTGCTGAAGTACGCTATCACAATCTCTTGATCACCATTCCGTTGAGACAACACACCGCCAAGTCCTATATCACTTGCGTCTGTGTCAACTATGAATTCCTTGCCCGCATCAGGGTACCCCAAAATAGGTGTTTTTCACAGGCGGTTCTTAAGCTCCTGGAATGCAATATCGCAACTTTCATCCCAGCAGAATTGTCGCTTCTCCTCGATTAGCTTGTGCAGAGGTTTGGCTATATCTGCAAAGTTCTTCACAAATCGCCGATAATAAGAGCACAAACCCAAAAATGCTCTAACCTGTGTCTTGTCTTTTGGGACCGGCCACTCCTTGACAGCAGCAATTTTCTCTGGATCCGTGCGGATACCTTCTTCCGACACTACATACCCCAAAAAACTAACTTGCCGTTTGAATAGTGAGCACTTCTTTGGACTCAACTTGAGGTTGGCACTCTGGATCTTCATGAGCACGCGTTCCAGGTTTTGAAGGTGTTCCTCAAACGTACGGCCTACGATGATGATGTCATCCAAATAGACCAGACAAGCATCTCCAATTAGCCCGGTAAGTACAAGTTCCATCAATCTTTCAAACGTTGCTGGAGCATTGCACAATCCAAACGGCATAACTTTAAATTGCCACAGACCCTTTCCTGTGGAAAATGCAGTTTTCTCCTTGTCCTTAGGGTCAATTTCAACCTGCCAGTAGCCACTTTTCAGGTCCAGCGTACTAAACCACTTTACGCCTGTGAGCATGTCCAGCGTGTCATCAATTCTAGGCAAGGGATAGCTGTCCTTCTTCGTAACGTCGTTCAGGCGGCGGTAGTCAACACAAAACCGCATGCTGCCGTCCTTCTTCTTTACCAGCACCACAGGTGAACACCATGGACTAGATGAAGGTTCAATAACACCATCCTTCACCATTCCCTCAATCATGGTTTCCACTTCCTTTTCACGTGCTACAGGCAATCTTCTTGGCCGCTGACGAATAGGCAATTCTTGTCCTGTGTTTATTTTGTGTTGAACTAAGCCAGTCTTTCCTATGTCAGCTTCGTTTGACGAGAAAACATTGGCGTACTTGAGTAACAACTTCTTCGCCTTGACCATTTCATTCGGGGAAAGAACGCTGCGACAGTCTTCCAAAAGTGTGGTCACTATCGTTTGTCCATCCTTGCTGGGGGTCCCGGTCGATAGATATTCGCATCGACGCAACCAATCCACTTCCTCACTAGTACCAACCAATGTGCCTTTTTCTATAATCTGTTCCTGATCACAAAGGTTCAACACACGTACTCCTGAGATGTCGGTGGTTCTGACCAAGGTTCGAGCCACTTTCCATGGAAGGTCATTGTCTACCCTTTCCACGAGTACACAACGATGGGCTTGCCCAGGACTCCGAGGAAGACTAACCGGCACAATCGTTTCCGATCTCGGCGGAAGAACAATCTTCTTAAGGCTGTACACATTCCCTGGTAACGCCCCTTCCACGAAAAGTTCTTCTTGTCCACATTTCAAAACACCTTGCTTAACGTCGATCTCACAACAATTCTTCCTCATAAAGTCTAGGCCCAGGATGCAGTCGTCCATTATATCAGCCACGATGACATTATGCAGGTAGATCATGTTGCCTAGCTTCAACTCCATCTCCTTCTCTCCACGGACGGGTATGCGCTGACCGGTGGCT